CCTGAGAGTAATTTAATTGTAGGTAGGTGACTGACTACTATTCTTGCGACTTTTTAATATTTTTGTTTGTTTGTTTGTTTTCGCTTCTTAGCACCACACAACACCAACAAAACAAACTACAATTTTTTTTGTCGTCGCCTTAAATTTTACCATTTTTGAACAATCTTTTTAATAATGTCTATTTATTTATTTGTAAAATGTTGACTGGTTTCTAGTTTCTTATTTTGGTTATATAATTTTTGGATATTTCCTGATTTACTTTGTGTATATGCATGCATGAATAATTTCTGTTTGGTATGTTGATTTAGTCATTATGATATTCTGTGAACTGTCCTTACTAAATATTCATGTTTCGTGATAATTATTTTTTATCGATCGATATTTTGTTATATTTGTTTGTTTAAAATCTGAACTTTTTAAAAAATTGACATTTAACAAATTTTAATTTCGTCACTTTTCATCTTTTGATGATGTCAAATAAAAGCAACTGTTGTGTTTTTCTTTTCTTTTCTTTTCGAACCGGACTGCTTTTATTTTTTAAGTGTACAACATATATATAACAGTACACACATATAACTAGAATAAATATAACGGCCTTCGCTTACTTTTAAATTTAACGGTCGAACAAGGATTTTTATCGTTTGAGTCAAAAGTTACGATCGTATATTTAGTTACTAATTAAAATGTTTATAAAGGTTTTAAATTATTTTTCAATGTGGTAATTAATTACTTTTATTTGGTTCAAATTTAAAAAAATAAAATTGCCACTACCGAAAATAATTAAAAGTATAAAAAATTGAGGTTCTTTGCATATTTCTGCTTCAACCCATAAGAAAGTGTTGTATATTGATAAACATGCCTCCCCTTGAGTACACAATACCTACATTCTAGAACCATGTTCATATACTATTAATTAATTATTAATTTAATATATTTATATACATGTATACCTAATGAACTAAAAAACAAATTACAATACATTATTAGAAAAATAGAGAAATTAAAATTAATAAATAATACAATAGCGATAGAATTTAATGAAAAGACAAGAAAATTTATATAAGAGATGACTACGTTTCAAAAGAGAAGTGTTAGGAGGTAGGAAATTATTCAATTATATAATTGAATAATAGGCAATTACCCTATATACCTCACAACACTTCCCTTTTGAAACGTAGTCATCTCATATATAAATTTTCATGTCCTCTTGACGACTGTGCGCGTCTTCAAACTTCCTATATAGGGATGACTACAACACTATCGCGTATACTCACTATGCACAAAAGAGACGGTGCAATAAAAAACCATCTCGAAACTTTCCACAACACCCCAGTTGGGGGGGAATCTTCTAGATAACAACACAAAAATTCTATAAAACAATCAACTGCACTACAACCTAAGAATTGCAGAAGCCATTTTCATCGAATCTGAAAAACCTAAAGTTTATATAGAGAATTTGTATAACCCAGTCGATTGATTGATTAAAACAAAAAAATAAAGTAATTTTAGAAAAACAACTACATTGACTGATTATAAGTGTTTTTTTTTACAAATTTGTTGAGGAACCAAAATTTTTCGAGGGGTCGAGTCGGATATTTTTCATCCAACTCCGACAGGAACAACAGAAACGAGGTTTGTTATTTATATTTATGCTGAAGTACAAATATTTTCTTAAGTTTTTACATGAAAAAATTTTGTAATTGCAATAATAATTATAATAGAAATAAAATTATATATATATATATATATATATATATATATATATATATATATGTGTGTGTGTGTGTGTGTGTGTGTGTGTGTGTATAAAACAAATAAGGACAACCGGCTAGCAATCAAAAATTCATTTACTTTATTTCAGAGAAATGAAGGTTAACTAAAATCACTTTTCATTAAATTCCAATGAACTTCATTCTCAAATTTAATTGCTATTGAAATGATAATCTAATATAATTTAAACAAATTAGAGATATTCAAAATGAAAATATAATCAAATTTATAAATTAAATACATTCACATCTATTTATATTTTATTCAGTCAGGCACAAGAGTGAAACAATAATATAACAAAGGAAGTGACAAATGAGTATTAAAACTTACCACATTTGTCATTATATTTTATTTTACAATTTTTATAAATATTTTATTTTATTAAAATTTGCATCAACTCTTATAATATTAAATGTTGACGTTGCAGTTGGCTCACAAACAACTATCTCCTTGCGCATGATTCTATCACTGTTAACATACAAATTTTTTTTCAAACATAGTCTGAAGCTACAATATAATAAATAAATAAATAAATAATTGGTATATTATTAAAATTTAACTTAAAATTTTTTTTTAAAATATCAACACAATTTACCTCAAAGCAATTCAAATGGATTGTTGGATTGGTCATTTGATTGATTAGCAGATGATTGCTGAAGGAATGTAGTCGACTGCAGTTGAGGAGTTGAACCCCATAAGACATTCGGTTGACCAAGTGGTCTTTGCTGGCCCTAGGAAATTTAACAACAAGGGAGCTTGAAATAAAGATACAAAAATATGCCAATATCGAAAATATTATACCATTTGATAAACAGGCACCATGCCAGGAACATTTGGTTGCATATTCATTGCCTAAATAAAAAATTAAAATAAAGTAACGTAAGAATCATCAACGGAAAAGACCCACCCGTGCTTAAAGACAAAATATCTCGGATAAAATGCTAAAGAACTAATTGACAAAAATCATAGTAAAGTTCGTAAAAAAAATCAAAAACGTCCACCTGCAATACAATTAGCTTGGTCATATACATCGTAAATAAAACAAGTATTTGCTAAATAACTCGAATTAATTTTCTCTTTCCCATGTAATTATTTAATAAATTGTTATGTTATTTCATCCAATTTTGTAATTTTTAAATATTTTTTTAAGTTTACCCAAGACAGTCAGAGAACAATAATATATACATTTATGTAACATACATTTATATTTTTGTAAAACTATTTGTAGCCACACGCATGTATGTACATTTCCAAAGTTGAAAATGATTTAACCCCTGATTGAGCCCAGTTGTTTGCCACGTTAAAACTTTGTTGACCCCAAGCTGAGGCCCCAGTACCACCTGTCAACTTTTTCTCGCCTGCATTGAATGAAATCATTCTGGCTGTCAAAACATCAAGCAAACTATCATTCCGTTAGAAAGAAGAAAATTTAAGATAAAAATTTTAATTAGAAAAACTTCTTAATATTCTAACCACCTGTGCTCCCAGTCCATTGATGCTCAGTCCTGAAATAAAAAACAACCAAACATAAAATCGAACCATCACAAATTAGATAGAACCAGAACATTAATACACACAATTCAAACCCTCATAACATTAGAAAAAGAATCAAAAGATTAGATTATGACGTCAAAACATAAAATCGTCTCATGGCTTACATGCTATCAAATTTCTATCCAATTTTAAAGTTACAATATTGAAATGTTAATAAAGCAATACTTTGAAAATCTGATGAATAAAATAGCTTCGTGAAATATCATTATCGCTAACTTTTTGATTTGACCTACTGGACTCATATTGAGATTGCCAGCCAACGAAGCCAAACTGCTGTCCAGGTCTGATTGAATAAGTTTGAAGTTGTCTGCAGCAATCGGTTTGCATGATAAGTTGGCAACAGACTGAGAAGGTTGTTTCTGTTGCAGATTAGTAGATGCCTGCAGCGTTCCTGTTTGGGGCTTGAGCATTTCCTCGAAAGCATCTGCAATGGCATCATTGATCATTTACAAATCAATACTTTACATTTTTAAACGAAGAAACTATATATACATACATATATATATTAGGTTGCCCTCAGTTCACTAATCAAATTTTGTTTTAATATCTTTATGGTCCCACCCCCAAAGTTGTTCCTTATATGAAGCTTAGAAACTGTGCAAATTTTGGTGTCATTATATTAAGGTTTACACGTAGCTCAATCCGGTTATATGTTTCCTTTTTTAACAAGCTTCTACAATGTTGTATTGTTACCAATTTTGCATGATCTAAATGTGATTGCTGGTTTCAATAAGTATTTGTATTGTTTACTATGATATCTATGCGAGCATTTAAAGCATCTATGACATTATTACTATCCTTGGCTGTTTTGTTTACAAACAACTGCCTGAACATTTAAATTTTTATTCAAAAAACTGTTAACTTTAAGCTGTATAATTTTGATCATCTCTAGGACGTTCACTGTGCGATATTTTGTTACAGTTATTACCTGATGGCAGACCAGCAGTTTTATTCATCTAAAACACGTGGTATTTGACTGATTGGGGAAACTATCGCAACAATCAACGGTAGTAAACTTACTTCTAAACGACAGGCGTTACAACGTTTCTTTCATCTTCATCAGAAAGATTTGCATTCTATTCATTATAGTGCCGCAGTTACTACCAAAGAAGTCGTCCAGTTCTGGGACAAGGCATGCATTCCAGCTCGTAAAGACTGTCACATCATCTCTAAAATAAAGGATCTCGGCTCTCATACCAGTCAAAAATGACCTCATTTACTTCATTCAGCATCAACTTACACAGTTTCAACCCAGAGATGATTATCGTGAGCTTCTTCATCTATCGCTTTTGTTTCTTGGAGCACAGCATAGTGAAGACATAAACATTCGGGCTCCAGGAGCTTGCTATCACGCAAGATGGATGGGAAAATTGATTTACAGCCTCACAATTTAACTGTTTCGTTCAGATTAACTACCCGTAAATTGACATCTATTGGCCTCTTCAACACATTTGTACTAAAGGTGTACATAAAGTCCTGGTTTACCTCTCCATGTGCTTAATCTGCTCCAAACAATGACTTGCAGCTGCTTCGGGAGTTAGAAAGCTACAAGAATACAAATGAAGCTGTTGCTAATGCTGGGTTGAAGTCATTCTCTGGTCATTTATGATACTTGAATGAAGTATTGATCGGCTTAGCATTCTTGGACTCAGAAGTCTCATCTGAGACAAAGTCAGCCACGGTTGCGGCACTGGATAAGGCAACAACCGATCAACCTATACGACACATTACATTCCAGCCGACAATATCACAGAAGCGGCTTTCGGACTTCGTATCGCAACGTACCAGGCAACTGTTTGGATATACCACAGAATTTTTTGAGCAGTAGTCCGGACATGTGGAACAATGACAATGACTACATTATTGGTCAACGGAAAGTTAGAAGTTTGAAAGTTGTCAACGATGCCGCCGACAAAGGAGTGGCCTTAATTCAGGAGTTCAACAGAGTTGTAACAAATGACGAAGACCAGAAGGAGTATTTGTTACAAGTGATAGAGAAACATCGCAAAGACTTCCCAAATCCAAAGAAGTCTACTATTATTGCTGCAAGAAGAAAGTAAATACTAGACAATATGGGATCATAGCAGAACATTTTCTGTAAGTGTGTTAACGTTATTATGATGAAATTTGGCTTGTAAACGTTTCTTTGTTGAGCTACCAGTAAATATCAATACAATACATTTAAATTTTGCAATTGTTACTTTTTTCATATAAGGAACACATTTAAGGGGTGGAAAAATAAAAATTTTTATTTTCGTTAGGCACCCTTATATATATACATATATATACATCCTTATATATATATATATATATATTATTAATATATATATATATAAATATTATTAATATATATATATATATATATATATATATAAACAATAACTATATTTTGTCTAACACAAAAAATAGCGATATAATAAACTTAAATGTTTATATTGAAAAAAAATATAGCTATAATCAAAGAATTTAATTTCCTAGAAACATTTAAAACGGAATAACAGAGTTAGCTCAGTCGGTAGAAGTGTCATGTCTCGCGCATCTATCACACGTTGGCTTGGTTTGAATACTGTCAGAAATTAAAAGACTATCATACGCGTATGACGTGGTGCTTGTACGTGCATTTATAATGTGTATGCGCGTCGTGTGGTGTGGATAACACAGCTTTTATGGCACGAAAATTCAACTATAAGGATAGAGTAAATAACATGTAAACAGCTCTGCGTTTGACCGAGCTGCATTAAAAGAATATTAAAAAACACTCACAACTCAGTGTTGTGCTGTACACATCTATTAAACTTTAAACGTATTTATTGATATTACATCATTTTAAAGTAACACAATTTTGAGACCAACTGTTAGTTATAGGGGCATGGTTGTTCATAATGGCATTTGAAGAATTAGCCATTGATGGAGAAGCAAATGCAGGAACAAAACCTGGAAAATAAAAAAAATCTTCACGTTTATTTTGTGCTTTAAATTGTTTGTTTCTTCTTAAGAATGTCTTACTTAAATTTAATTTATGCCTCAACGCATATAAATTGAACTGTTATTATGTTATAATTATATATGTACCATTCTTATCAATATAGCTAGCTTCTATACAACGAAAATCTCAATATAACGACTTTTTTTTATGTCCTTTGGAATAATTTTCCTATAACAAACAAAATTTATAAAAGTTAAAAAATCTGACCAGCAAACATTCTATGAATTGATATGAGCGGTGTTCTTGTACTTCTTTAATATCGTAAAACCATATTTATTGTTTCTTGTTCTGGCATTCTATTAGAGTAATCCTTGCCAAATTCAACCTCGATAAATTTCAATGAAATTGGAATCATTTTTGCATGTAATAAAACATAAATTTTAATTTTAATTTTTTTTTGCAATTATACCACGTATAATGTTTCCGTTATCAAATAATAATAACAATTATTATTATTATTGATTTACTCTATTGGCATTCATCAAAGAATTTAACTGCGATTAAATGCTTTGTTGAACTAATTACTTTATAACTATCGTCTAAATTATTGAATGAAACAATCTACTTCAATGTTGTTGGGAAATAGTTTCATATTTTTGGCAGAGCAACCTGCCAAAAATCATTTCTGACAAAACCGAACGCAATGCATGTCCCACATCAACGTCAGTTCTCTTACAAAACACTTCCTCCAAATATTTTTGATCATTACGTAACCATGAGTCAACACCGCCATCATAAATCTTATTACTGAGACCAATGACCAATCTGGCTGCAGCGTTTTGGATTCGTTGAACCTTTTCCACCACTCCTGCGCCAGCATCATGCAACAACGACAACGAATTGCAATAATCCAATTTAGACAGTATCAAAGTAACTACCAGACTAGTAAAAATGTCACCTGGATGACATTTCTTGACCAAATACAATCTACGTAGCAGTAAAAAGCAAGTAGAACAAAGCTTAGCCAGGTGAGGCAACATCGCCAAAGCACTGTCGAGCATCACACCCAAATTCTTGACTTTATAAGCTGAGATAAACCTATTACCCAATATAACAAAAGTCGTACCTTTTATTATGGATAAAGCTGCCCTAAAACCGAACCATATCAATTCCGTATTATCAAGGTTTAGGTTCAAACGATTCGGTTTTAACCAACTGTTCACATAATAATGCACCTAGCTAAACCATCAGGAAAAGCTTGAGCACCTTTCACTAAACCTGCCACATACATTTTTAGGTCATGCGCATACATCTGAATACCCGAACCATGATCAAAAAAAAGTCAAACCCGGTAAACCAAACACATACATGAAAAATAATATTGGGCCTTGCACTGATCCCTGTGATACACCCGTTTGCATTTCCATCTCATCAGATACCAAACCACCGAAACATACCTGTTGTACACGACTCGTCAAATATTAAGTAAACCAATCGAGCACCACACCACCAATACCAAATGAAACCCACAACTTTTTTAAAAACACCCCATGATCAACCGTGCCAAATGCCAAACTGAGATCCAAAAGTGCCAACAATGCCACCTTTCCATTATCAACTTGTTTTACAATATAACCAAATACTTTCAGGAGAGCTGTCTCCGTAGATAAACCAGGTCTGTAGGCCAACTGAACCAACGGCAAGCGTCTATGGGAGGATAAATGACTCAACAAACGAGAAAGCACTAGGCGTTTGGAGACCTCTAAGACAAAATGCAGATTTGATTCACGTCTATAATTTTTTCTAATTATCCAGAACAATTTTCTTGACGATGGCTGACTTCAGACCCCGTGAAAATTCCCCAGCTTTGAATGATGAATTTAACCAAAAATGGAAAAATGGCACCAAGCAATCTAAGAATATATAACTTTTGTAGAAATTAGACCCAAAGTGCACACTGTTGTTCTAGATCTCACAAATGCTGATTAACTTCACTCTCAGTGCACACATCAAACTTTAGAAACTTGTTACACTGACTGATTACGTGATCTGGACCACTTTCTGACGTCTCCTCTCTAACTTTAATTTTATCGGCAAAAAACTTAATCACATTGTTATAACCGTTACAAATATATTCGCTAGAGACGTTAGTGTCGCTACATACGCATACAATTCGATTAGAAACTGGAACCTTCTGATAGCGAGATATCTAGTAAGTATAAGGACGTGTAGAATGTCGAACAGCGAATGTTAGTGTCGAAAGCAATATTTGATATTTGACTTCTGCGTTGGATTTTTATTGTATTTGCTATTTATGTTAGTGTATTGTGATTTGGAAAGCGTTAATTTCTGAACGTTATTTTTTTTATCTAACATTGATTAATTGATTATTTATTGATTAATTGATTAACATTGATTAATATCGATTTGTAAATAAATTGTAAATAAAACGACAGAATAAAAGGAACCCCTCGTTTTCCGGACAATTATAACAACATCATCAGTTGGGTTCTGAATCTTTGACTCTTTTCCAATCACAGTAATATCTGACCATATGTGTGCCGTACACTAATAAATAATGAGCCTCATCCAATAATTTTTGGGGGGGTAATTTAATGTTGTTCCGACAACATGGCCCCAAAATGGCTAGGTCAATTTTTGGAAATTTAAATATTCTACATATTTTGCTAAAAACTTATTAAGCACAAAACAGTAATATCTGACGTTACTTTCAAACTTACTACGCCGCTGCATAATCATTAAGAACTCTGAAATGACTAAAGAACGGTCTGATACCACTGGTGGCTGCGCCTTTACATTTGAGACTGTCATATTCCCATTTACCATGACCAAATTTAAAATGTTGCCGGACACACGAGTTTGCGAATAAACCAGTTGAACCAGACCAAAAGAGGTAACTAGTTCCATATGGCTGGATGCTAATTGACTCTCTTTTTTGTTTATGTGGATGCTGAAATCTTCAGAAATCAGTAAACTCTTTTTCTGTAGTACTACAATAGACAGCAACTGAAAAAATTCATCCATAAAATGTGTCCCTAGAGCAGCTGATCCCGGTCGATAAATTGCTACGCACAATATTTGAGTTGATATTAAATAATGACTAAACCATCACCTCTCTTCGCCTGGCCATCTAAATCGTGCCTGATGCATCAAAATGAGAAAACGAGCTGGGAATGCACACCTGCAGTGCCCAATCATCATGAAATTTATGCCAGGTTTCAGTTAGTATTAATATATATATATATATATATATATATAGTCTATCGTCGTTGATAATGAAATCTTCGTGGCTTTCCCATATACGGACCTGGAATTTAGAAGACAGACTTTTAAACAGTGATGACAATTGATTAAGAGGTTGTTTTTCAAAAACATATAGCATATAAACACCTTTCAAGCAATATATAATATTTTCCAGAACAAAATCTATATAGCGAAATTTCGATATAACGAATTTTTCCCACGAACCATCAAATTCGTTGTGCGGAGGTCCCACTGTATTTGGATGGTGAGACGGTGTAATGGTTTAGGAGCATGGACTGCTGTGGCAGCGACTGTGATCAAATACAGATATTTGTGACTATCAAATGCAATGTGACGAGTTGATTTACGTGTATTCACATGTGCTGTGTGTGTGTTGTTGATGCCTCTGAGAATTAATCATGAAAGAATTAATAACAATTATATCCACTTTCAATATGTCGGGGTTCTTATTGTTTTTTTTCTTTGAAATTTAATATATATATATTGGCCGTAAGCACTTTTACTCCAATTTCGGCTCATTGCAATTGTATTTTCTCAATTTTCATGATTTTAAATCTTTATTTCAATACACATTCCGTTATTTCAAATTATAGGCTCTGAAGATGACATCTTTGTCGAAACAACGTTGTTAGCCACACTATAATTGGAAGTTTTAATATTTATTGCAACAGTTACGTGTTGTTGAATGTCTTTTCAAGAAATTAATAAACGCTAAATGGGCAAAATCATTTAATCAAATTTGTTATAATGAAAACCTCATCAAAGTCCACCCCAACAGAGTTTGTTTCATTCAATAACTGACCGAAGTAATCTTTCCAGTGATCCTTCACATCATTCTGCAAGGCTATTATGGTGCCTTTATTATTCTTTATGGCACCAACTATATCCTTTTTCAGTCTTTTGGCCTAATTTGCTGTTCAGTAGAGTGACCGAATTTGTTGGCCTTTACTTCCAGACAGCCATACCTTGCATTTATTTGCTTCTGTGTTCTTTGATCGGCATGTCTTTCGATCGTCATCAGTCTTTGTCTTCTGCCATTGTTTGAAAGCTGCTTTCTTACTGGCAATAGCATTTTGCACCGTCTCGTTCCACCACCACGTTTTGCGGTTGTGCTGGCGTTTTGGTCCAGATTTTTCACAGCGTTCACTAGGGTATCCGGAAAAGATTTCCAGGTTATGTCTACCTTCTCCAGACGATCCAGCTGTGCCGATACCAACATCTCGAATTTCTCCCTGAACATGGGGTTCTTCAGTTTCCATGTCTTTATTCTAGTAGGCATTCGATTAGTCACAAGGCGTGATCGTTCCAGTTCCATGATCATATCGGCTACCAGCAATCGATGTTGAGGGATGCATGCTTCGCCTGGAATGACTTTTGTATTCCTGAATAGTCGTCTGTGTTGTTGTCTGACGACAATAAAGTCAATTTGTGTGCATGACATCCCGCTTTTATATGTGATGAAATGTTCTGCCCTCTTTTTGAAATAGGTGTTCAACAGAGAGAGTTTATGGCTTTCAGCAAATTCCAGAATTCGTATACCATTTTCGTTTTGAGATCCGCAGCCAAAACCTTCATGGACACCGTGGAACCCATTTGCTTTATCTCCAACATGGCCGTTGAGGTCGCCACATATCAATGGTATCTGATGATGATGTTTTCCTGACGGCATCTGAAAGTGTGTTCCAGAAGTCATTTTTGGCGTCTTCAGATTCACCGGTTGGTCTGTGGTGCATATGCAGAGAAAACAGTTAAAACCTGTTTTCCAATTCTGAGTTTAATCAGCATTAGGCGTGATCTGATTAGAACTACCTCCAGTACATTTTGTGTCAGTGATTCCCGTATGAAGATTCCAACTCCATTTTGGACTGTCTTTTGCCCATTCCAGAACAACTTGTAACTCCCAATGAGGGAGACACCATTTGATTTCCATCTTGTTTCCTGCAGAGAACAGATGTCAACCCTTCGCCTTTCCAGCATGTCGACGATCTCCATGGGGCGTCCGGTAAGCGATCCAGTATTTAAAGTGCCAAGTCTGATAATTCAGGAGGGGACGCCCGATTTTCCGCAATATCCCTCCACTGTTGCGTACTTCCTGGATATTGTCACCCCTTGACCATTTAAGGTCTTCCAGGGAATAGGGGATATTTTCTTTTTTTGTAATGACATGTTTGGGTAAAAAATTTTTTTTATCTGGAATTGCCCAATTCCTAACGACAACCACTAGCTTTAAGCAGTGGGCCTAGCCTTTTTGCTGGAAGCACACAAGGCAGCGCGGTTGCAGTTTATCTCGTGCCCATGAGAGCACTAGTGTAAGCAGTGCACCTAGCCATTGCGTCAAAGGTCCCTGTTTCACAAGGCGGTGGATTTAGAATCAAAGATCATCTACTGTTAGAGCCGTTGTCCTAGGATCTTCCGTCTCTTTCATCGTTGTCTTCTTTCTTCTGGTACAGTTGGTTCGCGGCATCTTATACCGTATTATTCGATGCAATCCTAGAAGGTCTCTCATCAGTGTAGTTATATAGTATTGTTCCGTCTTTGTGTCTTTGTTTTCACAGTGACTTTGATTGTAACTTAAATAGAATTAAAGTTAATCATGTGTTTCTTTGTTGGAAGAATATTGGTATTATTTAGTTGAATATTTATTGCTGGTTTACGTTTATCGATGAAAATTGATTCTGCTATCTTCAATTTGAAGTATTTTCTGTTGTAATAAATTGCTTCGGTGTTATTATCTAAAATTTCCCTTGTTATAATAAAAAAATATATATATTTAAATATTGACTTAAAAAACCAAATGACTTTTGGCAAACACATACTGGATGAGGTGATAACATTTCCCCAAGGTTGTGATTGCAAGTGAGAAAAAAGTAGTGGTTGTTGTTGGGCTTGTTGTGGAGCAAATGGATTGAGTGCAGGTATGACCGAGTTAGTTGTTGATGCAGTTGTCTGAAGCATTGTGAGAGTTGCTTGAGGCATGAAAACATGCTGCTGATTAGGGGTCATGAACGAATTACTGGCAAATAAATTTTGTTGTAACTGTGGTTGCTGGATGAACGGAGGTTGCTGTTGCTGGGAGAAAAATGAATGTTGCGGTTGATGTTGATCAATAGGATTATCAAGAGATAATAAATCGTCAATGTGGCTGTGTTTGTTGTGGTTTGCCACTGTTGCTGAAACTGTTGGCGCAGTTGCAGCACTCGATCCAAATGGATCATTCATGGGCTTTGTTGTGACTGTTGCTGATGCACTGGTAGTTGTACTTGTTGTTGTTGCTGGTTGTGAGGCTAACATTTTAGAGGAAGTATTTGATGATGTTGAACTACCAGCCGGAGAGCCAGCCATTTGCTTCATTCTCTGTTGCTGTTGGGTTGTTCATCAATGTTAGCCAATAAAATGAATTATTAGCAATTTCAATTAAATAAAAAAAACGATATTGAGGATAATGAAAAATAGCCGTTATCATTCACCTTCATCTGGTCAAGTTGTCTTTGCTCTTCTTCCAATATTCTTTGTCGTTCTTCATCAGAAATTGAAGTTGTGCCGATACCAGCACCAGGGGCTGCACCAACTTGAGAAGCTGTTGCATAGTTGCTGATTGCCGCTGATATGCCAGCTGTTGGTCTGTCGTGAGATACAGAAATACATGCACACACAAATATTAATGAACATTCATGCCTATATCAACATTATTGTTTTAATATTCATACGAAAACATGACATTTTTGCATGAAAAAATACTCTAACTTGCTTAAGACAAAAATTAAAATAAAAACACACTAATTTGCTGCTGAATGGATTATCAATAATTTTAAAATTGTTTAAGTTCAGCAAACTACAGTAGCAGCAAATAAAGTATTATACGTGATTCCAATATATTTTTGTCAAACAAACTTGGTGGTAACAACTGCTCCACCCTTCTTTGTATTCTCCAATGAATTCATGTGCTGTTCCAACGCCTCTAACAAGCTGGAAGGAGCCTGCAATAGTAACCATTTGAAAAATAATAATATGAGTACCGCCAAAAAGTTCGTGAAATAAAAATTGGTGAACCAATCTCAGATAACCACAAAGATTTATAAAATTATAAATCTTTTTTAGTAGTAATTAATATTAGATTTAATAATAATAGTATTTGTTAATTGCGTTTCAATCTAAGTATAGCAAGTATTTTCATCTACATCCACCTAAGAAAAAATCACACACAAGTTATCAAGTTATTCAGTCAAACTTTTTAATTCACCAATAAATATTTGAATATTAATAACACACACACCACACACACACCACACACACACATAAGTCGGCTGGACTTGAAAAAATTGCGAAAGATCAGTCTGCATGGAAGAGGATTTGTAAAGCTGGTCTTACAAGTTTGAATGGACAAATGCCACTTCCAGGCGTCGACTTATCCTTCATGCAGCAATAGCAAGAGAATTGAAATCAACTGGTCCTTGATTCCCTCATTGTGGTAAAATATGAGCATCAGATTTTGGATTAAGAAGTCATCTACGATCTCACAGAAAACCAAATATCACTTAATAGCGACGCAACGTCCTCGCCGTTTCGGTGTACAACACAACATTAATAACAAAACAAATTTCATAAAATGAATTTTTCAACCGAGGATATCTAAAGCAGATGTATGTTACAACAAAAATTTTGAAATAGTTTTAGTTGGAAGCAAATTGTTAAAAACACCCATACAAAGATATACATAAATAATCGGAAGCAAATTGTTAAAAACACCTATACAAAGATATACGTAAATATTAAGAGCAGATCTTCCAACGGATGTAAATAAGCAGTTCATATGACAATACGTAGGTAATGTTAAATATAAATATAAACAAATTACTAATAATCAATTATTTGATTGAAGTGATATCAATAATATTAATGATTTTGTTACTGATTTTATGAGTTACTTTTATAGTAATTTATAGTAATTTTTTAAATGATATAAAAGTGAATTTAGAATGGATGTTCAATTGTGACTTTAAAAGCATTGGCAACTGCATGCTTTCAAAACCGGTGACACGAGGTTATCGTACAGGCGTGCTACCCAAAACTTTAGGAGCATATCACACGAATAGCATGATATAGCATGCATTCGAATCCGATAACGCAAAGTAATTATAGACAGAGTCTACCACTACTTTATTGTTATGGTTATTGACGCCGGTAACGTAATTTCATTAAATTTTGATTTTTATAATTCAAGAAATTATTTTCAATTTTAAGGTGCTGGGACATGTTGCCACAAATTACCTTTACTCGAGTATAAACTATTAATCATTAGCATTAAGTATTAAAATTATTTTTTATTTCAATCTTACTCTCATAGCGCACTCATTACTCGCGCTTATTACCTCGCGCCTTTTTTGTCTTGCGTCCTTAACGTACGCACCTTTTTTGACCGCTCCTTTTTTGCTGCGCCCTTTTACTCACTACAGAGATTGTACAAGGGTGGAGAGAATACACAGCCTTGCCTAACACTTTTCTTTATTTCAACAAAACTAGTCATCTTGTTACAAACTTTCATCGCTGCTCTTTGGTCCCAATAGAGGTTTTTGATAACTCTCGTGTCTTTTCCATCAATGCCCAAATTCTTCAAAATTTCCATAGGCTCCACGTGTATATAGCATGAAACACGTGAAGCCTGCTGATTGAGCAGGGTACAGTTGTAAATAAAATGTGGTTAAATAGTTATTTTTCTTCTTCAATTTAATGAAACTGTGCTATTAACACAAAACTTATTATTTTTAAGGTGCCAGTTGTACATAAAATACTTAACATACTTAACATAATGTTCACGATTGCTAATTAATATCAGAAAAATTATTAACATACAAATGCAAAATTTAACATTGAATATTTTACCTTTGCCAAATCAGGAATATCACCTTTATCAATTCCAACATTCTGTTTTATAAGTAAAAATCACGGCAAAATTAAAAATTTTTTGGATGTATAAAAATTATAAACAAAATTATTGAAAGGTTTCAAAAATTATTGAAAGGTTTCAAAAATTATGAAATTCAATAGGAAAAATTAATTACTTAATTATAAATATTGAGAAACAATTACTTTCACTTTGCAATTATCAACCAAACAATTAAATATAACGAGAATCTTAAAAATGCATTTTGATGTGAAAATGAAATGCATTCATTTATTTACTCATTTATTCATTTAATCAATCAACCATTCATCTATTCTTCCATCTATTTATTTTCTTCATTATCATGCAGCTACGACAATATAAGCTCTGCTTATAAATTTTTATTTGTAGTTCCAAATAAAACTAAAAAGCGGTAAAATGCATGTATACATCGGGCAAATTTGCATGCATTAAACGCAGAAAATCAGCCTTCAAACCAAGTTAGCATACTAACTCCACAACCAACAAACTTGCAAACCATAAAATCCTTTCACTAATTCATCCATTTAACTAGTATACATATACCCATACGTATATCCAACCACCCATTCATTTATAAAACTGACCTCTGCCACTTTCAAAAACTCGCAGACTCTATCCATTCGAGCAAGAAACTTTTTGTATATTTCCAGTGCATCTTTGCAATTTTTTTTGTTCATGTCAAAATATTTCTCTGAAAAGCACATTTAAACAAAAGATAAATAAATGTATCCTTGAACATGCCATTTCATAATATACTGAGAAACACATTGACGTTTAGTTTAAATAGCAATCGTTTGAAAACCGGATAGAATTTTATGTAGCAAATCAATGGATTTTGAATTAATATTACGGTTCAATTAATATTGAACAAAAACCAAACATTAAAAAACTTTAGACACAAAGAGACATAAACCACCTAAGAGATTGATGATTCCATCATTGTAGCAGGCAAACAATCTTATAAGGTCCTTGAACATCAACATAAATGCTGCATTAATAACTCCATTCGTTAATTCATTTGCTGACACCTGAGAAATATTTTATAATTATTTCAGATATCTATTTCATTCCGATCAATATTCATATCATGAAAAAAGAATCAATATACTATTTGAAAAACAACTGAAAAGAATGGTGCAATAAAAATGTGGCAATAATAGAATGAATAAACAAAGTAGAACAGTGTTGAGTGAAGTGTCTTAAACAAACCCACCAGGCAACGTGGAAACATATAACCAGAGGTTTTAATGGTTATGGCCCGAAAATGAGGAATATTTGATGAAAACTGATTAATAAACGCAGAACTTTGTGAAAAAGAAACAACGAGGATGATAGAACTAATAGTCGTACCATCTTCCTGCTTGCGGAGTTTCAGAGGAGGAAATTTTTACCGGAGTCAAATATTTTTCATCCGACTCCAACTCCAGAAAATATGATTTTTTTAATCTTAAAATTTATTTTTTTTGAAGATCATGTTATTAAGAAAATAAGTATGTGTAGCGCCCATATGCTGAAAATAAATGGTAAATGTGAATAAATCGCATAATTCCTTTCCGCCGTGTTATGAAATATTAAAATAAAGTAATTTTACAAAAAAAAAACAAGTAAATTGACCTATTAAGTGTTTTTTTAAATATTTTTATTTAGTAGTGATTATGAAGAAAAATTGTGATGCAAAAGTTAAAAAAATTTTCTGGGAGTTGGAACCAGGTGTCAGGGCTGGAAATTTTTACCAGTGTGTCGGAATCAGATAAAAAATATCCTTCTCAAACTCCGGCTCCTCAAAAAACTCCGACTCTTGATAAAAATTTCCGACTCCCGACTCTTCGTGCACAAAAGCGTCAATGGCTACCATGGAAACCAAGTAGAGGAATAGATGGATGATAATGAGTTAATATGTATAAATGATGGAAGCTCCACAAGGTATTATGGAAATAAATGTATTGCAACCTCGCCAGACGTAACATTGGTATCATACAATCTGAGCCAAATGAGCAAGTGGGAAGTAAGCCACAGCCTACAGTCGAACCACCTAGCAATAGTCATCACATTATTCAAACAAGTGTAAGACGGGCCTTTAAAGGAAATAACCAATATAAGTATGTATCTAATTGTTAATATCGTTGATGCTGTATCTGGATTCGTAAAATGTAGAAAGTGCAATGTAGTTTTGCGGTGGAAGGCAAGAGATGGTACAAGTGGGTTAACTTCTCATATTGAAATATGTAAGAAATCTACTTCTTCAGAGAGGGTATTTTCTTTGGCTGGTAAGACAATTGATGATAGAAAATGTCAACTCTCTCCAGATAATATTGACGGACTACTTTTTTTTACATGGATTACATGGCTGAATTTGGATTTTGCTGGTTTTTTAAATTTAGTTACATTTTATTTCATAAATTAATTTATATATTTAGTTGTTTTTTAATAGTTTTGCAATAAAATAGTATGTGCATTTATGCTAAGTAGTTGTCTTCTGATAATTAAAATGTTTGAAAATGAACTGGGATGAAAATCATTTGAATGGGGACGGAATGGGGATGGAAATGATTTGAACGGGGATGGAACGGGGATGGAAATCATTTGGATGGGGACGGAACGGGGTTGGAACTGATTCCATGGGGATATAATGGGGATGGTTTGAATTTCTGTCCCCGTCCAGGTCTCTACCCCAGAAGTAACCACAGCTAGCATACTCTTGAGTTATAATAATAATAAACACAATGAAAATGACAGTACAAATAAAATAAAATAAAATAATGAAATAAAATAAAATGTCAAATGCAATAAATAGAGTATTAATCTGAGAAGCTCATCATTCGAATCGAGAGAGTACGACCAGAGTTAATTAGTTTTAAAATTGATTCATTTCACATTTCTGTCGCAATAGATAGCGATAATAATAATAACAACAACAACAATAACAATAACAACAATAATAAAACGATAATATTATTAAATATACAAAGAATATTGTTTGATTAACATCTGAATTGACATCTGAAATATTTCTTTTTGAATTATTTGATTATCATTAATAAATCTTAAAGATTAATTTATAGCACTGTGTTTTATTTTTATATTAATAACAAATAAATTAAATATTAAACGCTTGAGAAAAGACATGCGAGCATACGGAAAGGCCAGCCCGTACGTTCGGCAAAAAGGGCGAAACATCTCTTTCGCTCGGCCCGGCGTTTATATTCCGACCTTGAAGTCGAAAGAAGATATTGTAGAATGGTGAGTCTCGGCCAAGGAAGCGACCACCTGCATGAAGACGGTTTTCGGTATCGAGTGGCCGGTGGCGTGTATGATCGCCACGGCGCTGACAACCGGCCCTAATGTGAAGACCACATTCACAATAAGATAATCCACAACTCATGGTAGAAGTAGTAGAGAAGACAAAAATTCTACATAAATAACTAGACATCACATGGTAAAACAACGTTAAGGGCAAATAGGTGAGCAACTAATATAGATTATTGAAGGGAATATTATGTTGTTAGAAAAAAGATATAAAATTTTTGTAAAAAATATGACATAATAACCTACATCAAATTCAATGAGGGTGTCGAGTTGGCTCTGAAGTACAGGCAGTGCTTTCAATAACTTTGTTGTATCCATGGTTCTCAATAAGCCGTCATCCTTTCTGTAAAAAATATATCATTATTTAAAATACAAATAATATACTTAACATATAAAATCTCTAGGCAATTAATTATTTTTATGTTCAAAGGAGTTAATTTGTATTTATTTATTAATTTTGATTCTCTCTTCAATATTTTCCAAAAGTGTCAACAACAAACACACAGTGCATACACGCAATACAACACATCACACACATTGCACGTGATAGGTGGCGATCTTTTATCAATCAAATCCGGCAACTGCAAATAGCACTTAACTGTTACACCATTGCGCTGCCCAATTCTCAATAAGAAATAAGATGAGCATTCATTATTATTAATGACGACTTCAAGGCTAAGACATTTATGTTTTGGAAAATACAATACACACAAACCAAGCATATATGTCTTGCTGCCAGTCCTAATCAACATTTAAAATATTATTAAGTATCAGTCATTTATTAGAGTTTATACATTTAAAATAGTATAATTATAATTCGATTACCATTATAAGGCATTTAGAATATATAAAAGGACAGAGTCTCAATAATAAAAGGAAAGTAAAAAAAATTAAACATTTTCCTAGGAATATTTATTCAGACTCTTGCCAAACTGCACCTCTTACAAACCTAATTTTTATTCGTAAAATTGAAAAAGTCATGAAAATCAATTAGAGGTAACGTTTATTGTTTTCAATCTAAAATTTCAAATGTTGTAGACTGTTCATAAGATGAATTTCAAAACATAAAAATATTTATAAATATAAAGAACACCACAAGAGAATAATTATAAATAATCTAAATAGACGAATTAAATTAAAGAAAAATACAGAATTAGGTGACCAAACGATTACCAAATAAGTAACATAATTGAACTTTAAACAGATGATAAAAATTATCCGATAATATTAACCACAATTTTAATAAGAAGTAAGTAATAAAAAATATGTGCACTTGCGCAAGTTTTTAAAATTTGCCAACAACCTAACTGTTTGACCATGCATTCCTAAATCCAGTTTACATGATACAATAAATAGATTTATAATTTATTGCTCATATGAATACCAAAAGCATAAATTCGATAATTTTAGAAAATTAAAATCATGACAACATTAAATGTCAATCAATATGCTTAACCAAAGACCAAGTCAAAATATGCTAATCTGTTGGTTAAGTGCCCGAATTGTGAAAGGAAATACTGAATGGTAAGGGAAGTCATTACATGAAAATAATTGATAATAATTTGTAATCTATCTGCCTGTCAGAAAATAATTTGTGAACTTTTAAAAATATTAACTTGCTCTCTGCTCTGTCTGTTGGTTCCATAACTATTATTAATTTTGAACATTGTCACTTCCGTCATCATCATAAGTATTTTTTTGGCTAATTTTTACACAGTTATAAGCGGTGGGCCTAGCCTTTGATGATCCAACATCACTTACAAGGCAGTGAGGGTCAGTTTAATGTCATAACCAGGAAAGAACCCTTACAAATATGTTTTAATCAATCAAAAAAATTGCTTTATTCTTCCAAGTTTAATGAAAAAAACATTGAAAGTTTTTTTAATTTGTTTTATTTTACGTTTAGTTCTACTTAACTTATTAAAAAATGTTTCGGGTCATTTCCAGCCTTTTTGCTTGCATGCTTTAATACGCTACAATCAGATACATAACGTAGAATGGTCTGATACTAACTTCTCTTAGTGATAAAATAAAAAATGTAACTTACAAAAACTTAGTTCATCAATCCTGTCCTATTTTTATACATGCACAAGTATTTAGTTTATTTTTTAGACATTGAACAGACAATGAATAAAAACACAAATAGTTTGTAATTTGGTATGTTTTTAAATAAACAATAATTCTAAAAGTAAGGTACTGTTAAATACTACTACTGCCAAAAGTAGTTAAGTTTTTTAGGAAAGGGTAAGATGTTAATAAAGAAAATAACAGCAAACTAGTTATCATCAAAATTCAATTGCACTAAATAATTAATTAATGACAATTTGAGTTACAACAAAAAATAATATTAAAGTGCCACATTTTCTGCAGTTATTATGTGATGGCCTTGTTTGAATACTGTCTGTCCAAAGTTCAAAGCTATGTGTATATAATGCGGTACTGGCAATTGCATACAAAATACATTTGCACGTCGTTATGGTATGGATAGTAGAGGCTTTGTGTAATGAAAGTTTGACTATATGTATAGGAGAATGTAAGTAGTTCTGTATGTCAGAGCTGTTTAGCAAAAAATAAAAAAAGTTGAAGATGAGGTTAAACAACAAAAATTAACATTAAAACAAATGATGGTAGTTGAAAGCTAGAGTTCAAAGACAAAAACTACCCTCTCTTGACTTTACAAAAGTCAAATGCCATCTGCCTGTAAGAGAAAGCTTTTTCATTTAGATACTTTGAGTACCTCCTCACGAATGCTGACATATCATAACCTACAAGTAAATTTTAAATGAAGAAAGTATTCAACTGAACTTGTTACATGTTTATTAAAATCTATGTGAAATGTTATCAATTTTATTGACGAAAAATGTAAAGCACACTATTGGTTAAGACAATTGAAAAACAGTGTAAACAGCACAGAAATAAATGTTGGCATATTATTATTATTTGTTGATATAATTCAAAATAGTGTAATGATCAATTTAAAACTTTCAATTTAAAAATTAATTTTAGTAAATCTAGTGATTAAAAATATGAATACAAGTTTAATAATAATTTGTAAATTATAAGAAACTTTTAATGAAAAGGCTGCTTTATTATGGAAATTTTTATTCAACATCAAAAATAATTTCAAACTTTGAAATAAAAATTTAGAAGCATTTTCAAAAATTTTGAGATGAAAATAATATTAACAGATGTAATTACATATATGCAGATCATCATTTTAATCATGTACCAAACTATAACAAAAATAATAATAATAACAATTTCTAAGAATAATAATAAAAATAATAATTTCTAAGAATAAAAGTAGGACATTGCAAATGAAATTCAATGAAATCCTGATACAATTTGTTATTTATGAGAAGTGATACACAATTCATTTCTGCTAATGTTTTTTTCAACTAGGTTCATTACAAATAATAAAAGACCCAGTTAAACTGTATATTTAAATGAAGTTTTTTAAACTTAAAACTTAACAAGTAAAGCAAAGATGGAGATAAAAGAGTAAGGAGAGAAGAGAGAGGGTGGAGAAAGAGATTTGCTATGTGGGAAGATTACCTTGTGGTCCACTCTTGTCAGTGAATCCAGATAGGTTGAAAGAGCAGTTGTTTGATGCCAGGAACTGAGTGAACCTCTGAAACGTCATTTCAAATTGATATGAAAAGTAATTTCTTAATTAATATAAATGTTTATTTCACAATAAAATTTCAAAATTAAAAAATTGTAACTTTGTAACAGGTTAAATTTAATTTTTGAATATATACGAAAATAAAAAGCTAATTTTTTTACGATAATGCAATTAGTTCTAATTGATAATAACCAATTATAAAATGTAGGATATTGCAATGAAATCAATCAATCAATCTTCGTTTTGCGTCCAGAGACCCGGTTTCCTGAGGTAGGACGTTGTTTTCTTAGCCATCAACTTTTTGCGCCAAATTAGACGATCAGTTGTATCCATTTCATTTAAATTTAGAACTTTCATGTCTTGTTCGATTGTTTGCAACCAGGACTTCTTTGGACGGCCTTTGGGACGTGTGCCAGGTACTTCAACATCTGCTAGAGAAGTTATGGCACTGTTTCCACTTCGTTTGACATGACCAAACCACCGCAGACGGTGTTGCCGGCATTCGTCCATTATATCATCTAAACCAGCAAGACGCAGGATTTCGGTAGATTCGATGCGGTCCTTCAGACTAATTCGTTGCATCCATCGGAGCATTTTCATGTCGGTTCGTTAAAGTCGTTGTTCCTGTTTGGTTGTCATTGGCCATGTTTCTGCACCCTACAACAACACCAGACGTATCACAGATTTATAAAGTCTTGATCGTAGTGGTAGTGGGATGTCACGCCGCATCAATATAGAGGCAAGGAGATGCCATTTATTCCTGGCTGCATGTATGCGTGCTCGAACGGCAGCTTCAGCTGTTCCAGTACAATCCAGAACATCCCCTAGATATTGAAACGATGTGACTTTCTCTATTTTAATGGCTTCAAAAACAGTGCTATTTCGAATTTGTTGTTGTGGATTGATGCAAACAGGACAAACAAAATTGGACACTTTAGATAAAGTACCAATTATTTTTGAACAACGTTTGTGACACCACTGGTTACACTGCTGACACTTGATTGAATTGTTACCTACACCAGCTTTACAAACTGAACAGGGCCATCGTCCAGTAGCTGTGGATTGGATGGGTTCACCAGTGTTCATTGCTTTGGTTTTGTTGATGTTGACTTTGAATCCATGATCGGCGAGTCTGGTGTTCCAATCTTCAAACATCTGTGCTGCATTCTGCTCAGACGTGGCTATTAAAACGATATCATCAGCATATATTAGATTCCAATTGTCACCAGTGCGTATCGGTCCAAAAAAGTCCTGGTCGCAAACAATCGAGCAAGACATGAAAGCTCTAAATTTAAATGAAATAGATACAACTGATCGTCTAATTTGGCACAAAAAGTTGATGGCAAAGAAAACAACGTCCTACCTCGGGAAACCGGGTCTCTGGACGCAAAACGAAGATTGATTGATTGATTGTTGAAGTCCAGCTAAACACGTTAAAAATTGAGCAACAAAACAATAAAATAATGAATTAGAGTAGTAGATATACAGTAAGGGGTTGATTTTTCAACTTTTTTTTTAAAATCAATGGGTATATTTTTAAAAACTGACATTTTTATAGTTATTTATAAAAAAGTATACTTTAAGACATTTGATTGCAAAAATGTCCCCCGTAAATAAGAAATTGTAATACAAAAATGAAAAATTGTAACTGTTTTTTAACAATTTTTAATGTTTAGCGCAAAGATATTGTAATTATAATAATTACACTCTCTTTGGTGTAGTCTGATACAAATAAACAAATATATAAGTATATAAGTTCGAGTATACATTGTTTGAATGCATCCAATGTTATCAATTTCTGCAAGCACAAGATTGAATTATTGTCATTAGCTGTCAAGATAAACGTGTTCCAATTAAGGTGATTTTTTGTGTTTACTAGATTTCCTTTTAGTTTTGCATGTAACTTAAATAACAGTATTTCAATTTACTTTATATTTCAGAATGTCCAGAATAAGTTCAGAGATAGCTGAAAAACCAGAAAATATCAAAGCCTGGACAAAAAATCTAGTCCACTTTGAGAAATCAAAATCAACAAGATGTCACGTACACAAAGTTTTGCAGCCACTTGGCATTATGAATAAAATGCCAAAAGCTTATGCTATTATTGGTCGGTATAATTATCAAATTTAGAGAAGTCAGTGTATTTGAGATGTAAAATGGTTGGCACAGAATTATCTGATTTATGGCTTAAACTGAGTTTACCAAAAATTAATGAAAGATCTATAACAAAAAAAGTAGAAATTCTTATTAAGAAATATCATTCTGTTCAAAAATTCAAACAATGTTTTGAAGAAAAGTGGGATTATATATTTGATATAACCAAAGTGAATGGTAACTGGCTTAGCAATGAAGATAAAGAATTTTATTTATTACAAATGAAAACTGATGGTCAAGCTGGTTATTGCACATCAAAAATTGTTGAAGCACATCCATCTAAAGCTGGCAAGAAGAGAACTATCATAGCTGAAACGGATACAGTAGAGGTCAGTGATGAAAATGAAGGAGACAATGAACAAGATGATGAGCAAGATTCTGATTATAATCCGCCAGACAAAAAAGCGAAGAGAAAATATGAGAACACCACCGTTGCTGTTAACTTAGTTAAGAAGTCAAAACTAAGTATTAGAAGATCAGCAGAAGTTTGCAAAAATTTATCTGAATGTGGTGTTAATGTGCAAGCACCATCCAAATCTGGGATTTATAGAGCTACAATGTTAGAAGCCCAAAAAATGACAAAGCATATGATTAATCATTTAAAAAATGATGATTGGGTGTTGCATTTTGATGGTAAAAAAATATCTTGGATTGAGTATCAAGTCTTGATTTTAAAAAATGCAGAAAAAGAGGTCAAGTTAGCCATTTTGAAACTAGATGATGGTAAAGCTAATAGTATTTACAGTGGAATAGCTGAAGTGCTAGATAAATTTCAACTATGGAGTAGTATTAAAGTTATAATATCTGATATTAAAAGTGTTAATACTGGAAGTAAAAATGGAGTTGTAAGCCAACTTCAAAGAGAATTTGAAAGAAAAAATCTTGAACCAGTTCAATTTATTGGTTGTCAGCATCATGTGTTAGACTCAATTTTGAAGCATTCCATGAATGATATTTTAGATGAAGGAAAAAGCACATCACCAGAAATACATTACAAATTTATTGCAGACCTGCAAGAAAATTATAAAAATTTAATATAAAACTTTAAGCAAGGTGAAAAAATTTGTAAAGTAAAGACTAATAAATGGAGAGATGATATGGACTTTCTGTTTGAGTTGGTACAAAGTTACCGATATATATGAGGGTGAATGGTAGCTATCCGGCTATAAAATTCAAAAGTCTGCCATCATTGAACAATGCCAGATGGAATTCAAAAGCAATCTATGCTCTCCTGGCATATATTTTAAATGAGTCAAATAATAATCAACTTCGCATGGTTTGTGACTTCATTGCATCAGCCTGGTCTGATATATGGTTTTCTGACATGCAATACTCAGAACGTAATTTTAACAATTTAGAACAAGCAATAACTTCAACTACAGCCATAAAAACCTTGAAAACATTTTGGTCCCAGGAGCCCAGTCGTTTACAAAAAATTCAGAGATCTAATATCTGTGCGGAAAAAGCCATAAAAATTGTGCAAGAAATTTGTGCAAAAGATATTGACAAGATGAACTTCAGATTTATTCTGCACAGCAACTTTTAAATTGCACAAACAATTGACCTTTGTATATTAATCAACTGAAAGTTTTGTAAAAATAAATTGCTATTTTTCTGTTAATTTGTCAATTTTTACGTCATATTTTTTTACTTACGGGGGACATTTTTGAAACTTTAGTCAATAAAACTTTTGCAATTGGTAATCTCATGTAGAATGTCAGATTATGGCACTATACCCATGTATAGTTGTAAAAAAAATCAACCCCCTAATATACAGTACAATACAAAACAAAATGTATGTAAAAATAAAAATTGGAAGAATAAAATGAAAATTTTTTTAGAAGCTTAGTTGCAGCCAGCTGATTTCTATTACTGATAAAAACAGCCACATGACAAATTTGAATATTAAATAGTCCCAAATATATTTTATCAATACAATTTTTGTACAGGGTTTTTTAAGTTAGGTTGATGTTTTTAAACTGTAATAAAGAGTATGCTGAAAAGACATCAAGAAAATAAACTCAAATGAAGCATAAAAAATAATGAACAGAAAAGATTTGAAATGAAAAAAAAACAAGAAAGTTATAGACTGTAAGTGCCTTATGATAAGTATTACAATGTATTGACTTTATGTTAAAAAAGACTTGATATAACAGCTTAACATTCCTCATGTTGATTGAATGACTGAAAGTTGATAGGAATTATAAATTTTTAAAAATAGTTTCATATGTTGAAAATTTTGAATAATAATATGGTAAGTTAAAGCTATAAAAATAACTACACTGGGCTTTCAAAAACACTAAAACAAGCTAAGGTAAGCTACTTGAAGCTACTTATTTTAAATTCACTCTGTTGTAGAGAAACCATTTGGAGCCTCTAATAATTTTAAGAAATGCAAACACAATTCTATTTTTAAAAAACTAATTGTTGTACTTATATGCTTTTCATTGGCAAAAAAATTTGTTGTCAACCATGAAATTATGAGAAAATTATCTAATGAGATTGAGAAAAATCTGTTATTATCTCATGAAATTGCAAAAAAAAGAAAAAAGGTATTTACCTCATTTCCATAATTCATAAGATTATGAACAGTAACAAGAGCTTTGAAAACAACCACCCAGCTAGCATTTTGTGTTCTTTCAATCAATAAGTTTGCCATTTGAGGTATAGAGATGTTTGGCTCATTGGTACATTGGAGCAAATCTAGTATAAAAATTAAAAAATAAATTTATGCCCAGTGGGATATCTCAACAGACTACAAAATCATTTTCATTTTTTTATCAACAACAATTATTTATGTCTAACAAGATTTTCAGATTATTTCAAAACCGAAGTCTAATCAAGATGTACAACATACAAAAAACAATTTGCATGCACAACTTAAATATTCTCTTTTTAGATCCATTTTTAAATTTAGGTCCAGAGCCATTACCTCACATCTCTCTAGTAAAGCTGTTTTTTACTTTTCATTCAGTCAATCTTAGTCTTTCTTTCTGCATATTTAAAACCTCGATAATACTTACAAAATATAAATTAATGAAAATGATTCAAAAAACAATGAAAACTTTTTGAGAATAATAACAATTCTCTCAAGCTCAAATTTGTACAATGCTGAACTTAAACGTTTTAAAAATTATCCTAGTAATGGAGTAGTTGGTGAACACTTGTAAAAATCAAAATAAGCTATTATAGTATAATAGCTTATTTTGATTTTTATAATAATTATACAATTATAGAATAGATAAAACATAAAATAGATTAAATATGGATTTTTTTAGCAATACACAGACATACCAAAAAGCTGGCTCAATTTTATAAAATATCAGCTAAATAAAATAAATAATCATAAAAACATAAAGTTAAAAATTTAATTAAACTACTAAATTCAAAATTAAAATAAACTTCAGTAGCTCCATACATACAGTCAAGGTGTTTCCTTTTTGGACCCATGATTTCTTCAGTGGTTGCTTTACAAATAACTTTTGCTAAACTTTGACCTGCAACTGTGTGCTTGGCCGCCAGAGCTCTGTCAACTATACTCTGGCCAGAAATATTTGATCCGTGAATAAATTTATTCATGTTTTCAGAATTTCCAGAGGAAGGGCGCAGTGTGTAACGTAACCAACCAAAACTACAGAATTTGAATTACTTTGGAATCCACGAATACGCAAAAAAGGACAGAATATGAATTTATCAAAAATTTTACCAGGTGTTATTTTTATGATGTTTTATCTAACATAATATTAATTAAAACTTAAATAAATATATTTTAGCCTTAAGCCAGCGACATGTTAATTTCGTGAGCAGAATTTTTTTAGATAACGAGGATTAGTTCGATATTTTGAGAAGGTTTTTCAAAAAACCTTCAAATTTTTTCGAATATTATGCGTATCCGGTGTAACATTTTTAAGAAGAATGTAAAAATTGACTTCATTAATGTAATCAAAACATTTCAGCAGCCAGCCAACCAACCAATTAGTCAGCCAACCAGTCAATTAGTCAGTGCCGAATTAAGACCTCTTTGGGCCCAGGCCGACATGCATTTGAAGGTCCCCGAAACTAACCTAATTGATTGACCCACATTATTTAGCAGCCCAAATTCAAAAAGGCTGTGCAAGCCATGGAATTATATAATTCAATGGTGCAAGCACCCTGCAATTTTTTTTCTTGATTTGATTTTTTATTTTTTTTGCATCATAATAATGATAACATTAAAAAATAGAAATTCACAAATTGCATGACTTATTGCGGAGGAATAAATGCTTTTTAGGGTTAACTGAAAATGGTCCCAAAGGCAACGTTAAATCTTTACAAAACCTACAAAGCATAATAACATGCAACAACAATGCCTTAGCCAAGTGGTCGGTTGATAACAAAACAATCGTATCTTTAAGATACTGCAAGAAAATATAACTGACATACAATGTTTGTTGCCTCAAGTAGATAAAACTGATGTCATCAATGAAGCACAACGGCAAGCCACTCAGACATCACATGATGAAAATGTTGCAATTGTTAAAAACAATTCGACGGCAGGAGGTATTGATATATCATTTATAATGTATTATATTTTGCATGTGCTACATCAATTTATTTGTAATAAACATTGCCTCAAATCTAATATTCCCTTTTTGCATGATGGTAATTTTTCGTCATCTATTTCTAATTCTCAAAAGGTACTAGAACTGAACGAAAAAGGAAAAGAGGTTAGTTGCATGATGTAAACCAACTGCACCATGCATCTTTTAAGTAGTACAGTTAAAGAAAAGGTGTATCAGGACTACCGATGACGCAAATTTAGAAATGTATGGATGACGCGTTTAAACCAATATTTTGGGATGTGCACGAAACGGGAGAAAGTTTTGTTTTATATGATATTTTAGAGGAAAAAATTGTCTATTAGAATATTTAAATGTTTTTAAGATGCACACATAAATGGATTTTTGGCGATTTTTTAACTTTTTCGTTACCGAGAACGCAAATTTAGAAATGTATGGGTGACGCGTTCAATCCAACATTTGGGAATGTGCACGTAACGGGAAAACGTTTTCTTTTATATAATATTTTAAGGGATGAAATTTTCTATTAAAATATACAATATTTTTGAGAGGCACACATAAATAAATTTTTAGCGATTTTTTAATTTTCTCGTTACCGATGACGCAAATTTGGAAATGTATGGGTAACGCGTTCAGTCGAATTTTTGAAAATGTGCACAAAACGGGAGAAAGTTTTGTTATAAATGGCATTTTTGGGAATAAAATTTTCTATTAGAAAATGCAAGTATTTTTTAGATGCACACATAAATCGATTTTTGGCGATTTTTTAACTTTCTCGTTACCGATGACGCAAATTTGGAAATATATGGTTAACGCGTTCAATCAAATTTTTAAGAATGTGCACAAAACGGTAAAAAATTTTGTTATATATGACATTTTTGGAAATAAGATTGTCTATTAGAAAATGCAAGTATTTTTCAGATGCACACATAAATGGATTTTTGGCGATTTTTTAACTTTCTCCTTATCGTTGGTATATTAATATATAGCGATTTTATGATGAAGTTTTTTTATTGTTTTATACAATTTTTAATCTGAATAAAGTTAAAATGTTATAAATAACAAATAAGAAACAATAATAAATCTTTTTTCATTTCATTAAACCTTTAAATATTTATTATTTAATCGGTTTTTTCATAATCCGCCTTTTACATATGCTTAATCGTCGCTGAGTTAAAACCGTCGCGAACATTACCTTCGTACTTTTCGAGCTTGTCGGTGAAGTCGTTTTCAGTTTAAATTAAAATTATCGTTTTTGTTTATGTGCTAATTTTCATTTATTATATTATGATGGCATCTATATCATCCTCATCTAATGCGTTCGGAAATAGAAGTAAGTTAATTTAAAACTTAAATTGAAAATCTTAAAATTAATTCAATTTCATAAAAAAAATTTAATTTACAAAACTTTATTTTTCTGCACATTCGCTAGCTTTTTATTAGTCATTCCAATCCGCTTAACTTAATTCTGCCTATCTAACTAACTAAATAAAAGCTCTAAAAGTAAGAAGGTCAGTGAACATTTCCTAACTAACTCTGCCTAACCCTGACACTAACCAACCCATAATTATTACTAAATATCATTATAAACCTAAAATTATTCATTATTTCATTAAAAAATTTTTACTGGTATAATAAAAATGAAAAAATTTTATTTTTCCAAAAATGCTTTAATTTTTAATCAAACTGAACGTTCATTAATGAACATTTGCATTTGCTAGCTTTTTCCAAGTTAAATAACAATGTCCTAAATCAGGTTGGGCTATCTGGCCTTCTTGGATTTGGCTTCCTTGGATTATTGACTTATTAGCCAACTTACAAAATTGCATAAATTTCAACAAATATGCAATACGAAATATTAACTTGATTTTATTTAATATGTTTAATGTAATTAAATTGAATTATGTAATTTGAAATATAAATTAGCATGATTTCATCAATCTACTTTCTATGAGTATCAGAATCTAAAATATTTATTTATTATGATGAAAATAGTTGTTAAAAGAGCAGTTTTGATCTATTTACACTTTTTATATCATAAAAGAATAGTAAAGGCTTAACGAGATTGAATAAACCAAAAAAAAGAGTGACTATAGTTCAATTCTAGTAAGCCAACCAATGTCTTTAGTAAGTCACTGTGTTCTCTAGACAAAAAGCACAATTTACATACATTATAAACAAAAAATAATTATGAAATGATTTTGTTGATTTATTTAAAACATTCAATCAATCAATCAATCTTCGTTTTTTGTCCAGAGACCCGGTTTCTCGAGGTAGGACGTTGTTTTCTTTGCTATCAACTTTTTGCGCCAAATTAGACGATCAGTTGTATCCATTTCATTTAAATTTAGTGCTTTCATGTCTTGCTCGATTGTTTGCGACCAGGACTTTTTTGGACGGCCTTTGGGACGTGTGCCAGGTACTTTTGCAATTTTGTAAGTAAGCCAATAATCCTAGGAAGCCAAATAACCTGATACTCCTAAATCTAATCTAATCCACCTGACTCTAACGTTCTCAAACACTCGCGATTATCATCTGCTGTTGAGCTCTATGTAATTGTGGCACTAATTTAATTAAAAAAATTAAATAATTTTAAATTAATTCAAAATTAGCGTCACCGTGTATCTTATGTCAGTCCACTTTTATTGTTTAATTAATTTATGTTATTGTTTTTTATTATTCCCTATTTCAATTGTGAAGATGTTGGATAGTTAAGTGTTTTCCGTTTTTTTAATTTTTTTTTGGCAGAGTGAAGTGTCAAATTAATATTAAAAGATGGTTTAATGTTATCTTTATTTTATATTTTTTTATTTTATCTTATCGAGTTTCAGCTTTTTAAACACATTGTGTCAAAAAATATTTGTTTTTTGATGAAAAAATGTTACTTTAATTAATGTGTAAATGGTTTTCTATATTTTAGTTAAAATAGTTTGTAATTTATTTTCTTATTAAGATTTTAACAATTTATATATAAAGTTGCAAAGCACTAAGTTAATATGAATGAAATCAGATGTTTATTTCAATACAATAGAGAATTAATTCTATTAATAATAATAGAGATTTTGGACTTCAATTGTTAGTTTTATTTTTCTAAAATCTAATTATAGAAATTTGAACTCTAAATTTCTAAATGTCATCTAGGACATGCCCTTCTAAAATATAAATAATAAGCTGTACCTTGATTATATAGAGGTAATATGAAATTTGCCTTGTGGTTTCACAAAATAAAATTTTTTTTTGTAAGCTAAACATTTATTTTTATGTATTAAATTGATTAATGTTATGTTATAATTTAAATCATAACTTAAATCAGGTGAAAATAAACCAGAACTATATGAAGTTTGTTTTCTATTCATTGTATGGTTTTAATTTTTTAATTTTGAAAATCTGTATTTTAATTATGTGTTTTTCAATTTTTCTTAGTTCTCTGCTTTATGACTCGAAATAAATTAGTTTACTGCTTTTGACAACAAGTTGTTTGGTATCTAACAAAAGTTTAAAAATTTTGTTGATATCAAAATATTTTGTTGTTGGTCCTGGTTATGACATTAAACTGACCCTCACTGCCTTGTGAGCGATGTTGAATCATCAAAGGCTTGGCTCACCGCTTATAACTGTGGTTGCGTAAGGAAGGGCGTCCTGCGTAAAAATTAGCCAAAAAATACTTATAATGACAGAACTGACAATGGCCCTTAGTATCCAACAGAAGAGGGTGCGAAGAATCCCCGGAGACCCAGTCCATGGGGTTGCGGTGCAAGGCCCTGTGGATGGTCTGGCTACTGGCACCCCACTCTATAGTGTTGCGATGCAAGGCACTATGGATGGAAGGATTACTTGTTTGGTACCTGGAATGTAGGCACGTTGACAGGAAGGAGTTTGGATGTGGTGGAGGAGTTGCAGAGGAGAATGGTTGGAGATCAGATGGAAGGGAAAGGGTACAAGGTTTGTGGGGGCTAAAGGTGGAAGATATAAGTTGTGGTGGAAGAGGGATGATGGTACGGGAGGAGTTGGTGTGATGGTAAGAGAAGAGTTGGTGGAGAATGTGTTGGAATTGAGGCGAAAAAGCAATGGTGTAATTGTGGTGGTGATGATGTTTCGAAAGGTAATAGTGAGGGTAATATCAGGATATGCTCCGCAAAAAATTAGGAAGGAAGAGGAGAAGGATAGGTTTTATGATGATGTTTCTGACGAGATTGGGCAAGCGGGCTTGGATGAGTTTGTGGTGTTGTTGGGTGATTTGAATGGTCACGTGGGGGCGGATGCAGATGGATATGAAGGTGTACATGGGGGATGGGGATATGGTATACGGAATGAGAAAGGGCGTAGAGTGTTGGAGTTGGCGGATGCACATAGCATGGTGGTGGGGAATACCTGGTTTACAAGGGAACCAGCACGATTAATTACATATTGGTCAGGGGAGCATAGGTCAATGATAGATTATATATTGATAAAGGCGAAGCATAGAAAGTATGTAAGGAATGAGAAGGCGATACCTGGTATGTTGCAGCATAGTATGGTTGAGATGGATGTGGCATCTAAAGAAATGGGGAGGAGGAAGAAGGATAAGTTTGTGGCAAAGAGAAAGACATGGAAGTTACAGGATGCAGAGGTGAGGAAGGCATTTGAAGTGAAGGTGGCTGAAATTTTGGAGAGTGGTAAGGTAGGGGATGTTTGGGAGAGATTTAGGGACTGGACTGTGTGTTGACTACGGCAGATAAAGTATGTGGATGGACGAAAGGAAAGTGTAGGCAGGGTGAGACGTGGTGGTAGGATGAAGATATAAGAAAGGTTTTGGAGGTCGAGAAGGAGAGGTTTAGGGTGTGGAGTTCGTGTGGGATGGATGAAATTTAGGGAACTTGGTGGGGTATTGTGTGGAAAGTAATGGTCAGTGAAGATGAAAGGGAGGGTATATAAAGCATGTGTGAGAGCAGCGATGGTATATGGTGGTGAAACTTGAATGTTGAGGAGAGAGGAGGAAAGTGTACTGCAGAGGGCTGAAAGAGCTATGGTGAGGATGATATGTGGGGTTAAAGTGAAGGATAGGAGGAGTAGTACAGAGCTGATGTCGATGATGGGACTGAATGAGGACATTGTGACATTGGTAAGGAGATCGAGATTGCGGTGGTATGGACATGTGTTTAGAAGGGATGAAAGGGTCGGGATTAGGCGAGCGTTGGAGTTCGAGGTTGAAGGAGTGATAGGAAGGGATCGTCCGCGATTGGGATGGAGAGAGCAGGTGGTGAAGGACATAGTGAAAGCGGGGTTGCGTGATACTGAGGCGAGTGAGAGATGTGAATGGCGTCGAGAGGTATTTCGGTTTCATCATAGGTAGCCAAACGGCAACCCCCGATCTCGGGGAAAATGTCTTCTAAACGTGTGTTGTTATTGTTGTTATTTTGTTGATGTCAAAAATTTCACATGATAAATTTCAAAAAAATTCTATTATTGTTTTTCAGGAAGTTAAATTATACAAGACTGCAAGAGAACGAGATAGGTTTGTTTCACAGCTTGTTTTTTAAAATTATTACATAGTGTTGTGTGTAAAATTATTTCTTTTACAACAGATATGATAGTTTAGCAGAATTATTTGCGTTAGTAAACACTTTGCAATGTTTAGAAAAAGCTTACATCAAAGATTCTGTGACACCTTCAGAGTAAGTCAACATTGCTGTAAAATCGAGGTGGGCAGACTGCAGCAAACAGCACATGCAGCCTGCTAATGTTGAACGTAATTCAGTCCAAGAATATTTAACTTTTGCATTTTAAAATCATAATTTTAAGCATTTTATTGGAAACTGGGAATACACAAAGCCTGCCCAAAGTGTTGCAATTGTGTAATTTCGACTTCGTCTGAGTACATTTTGAATATTTTTTCGTTACATTTTTTGAATGTTTCCGCAACACGTTTTTGTAAAAAAATTTTTTTCTTATTATGTATAAAATAAACATGTCAGTGCTAAATTATTACTTTGAGAATAATCATAACTGCTTTGGTTCCACATTTTTAGCGGGGATAATTACCTTGTTTTTGGTAACACTATATGTTATTTTAAGAAGTTTATATAAAAAGTATGAGCAATAGCAGTTATGATTTACTAGTTATAACACTTAAATAGAATTGATAGGAAAGGATGCAGCCATACTAATATATTTTGAAAGTTAATACCAAAGAAAATGGACAGAAAGAGAATGGACAGAACAGAGATATAATAAACGGATAAAGATATAATAAACGGATCAAAGATATAATAAACGGACAGAAAAAAGCAGTATCAAAGCACTTTGCAGAGGACAAAGCATTTTACACACAGAGAGAATTGTAAATTGTTGAAATATCTCTATATAAGCGCTGATGATGAGTAAAATCGAGATAGGACTTTTACGCTTCATCATAAACACCAATGATTTATTAATTTTAATAAATTGTATAATAATTATAAAAGTATTGTTAGAAATATTGAAAAGCTCCACCGTAAACTTTCAAAAGCTAAAATCAGTGGCCCAAGTTAAAACACTGACTTTGTGCATTTATTATCTCAGTAGCCCTAATAAAACTAACGGGTAACTAATACAACTAATTCATAAAAATACGTTTTGGTTGATAAAGACGTACTCGGCTAATAGGTGTAAATGGTGTTTCGACCTGTATCCGCTAGTACGGTAAGAACTTGTCGACCTGTTATTACTACCATGAGAGATGGTGTTCAACATGTACTTATACTGGTCAATAGTAACTGCAGTAGCAGGTCAACGAATCATAACCCATAAACATTCTCACGCACTTGCGGATACAGGTCAACACACCATTATATATATATATATGCATATTGCATATATATATATTCTTAGTATGGCTTTTGGAAGAAAAAGTTTGGCCACCTCTGGTTTAGATAGAAATTTTTATATTCTTCGAAAGTTGCTTTGTTTTATGAATAAAAAAAAATCCTTGAAATAAATTTATATTGTTTCAATGTTTTTATGAATTATATTTGCATATTAATAGGATTGCAAATTTCTCTGTTTATTTGTTTGAAAATATGTTAATTGTAAAACTGGCAATGATGAAGATAGTTAATTGGAAAATATTTTTATGTGTAGTAAATGCCAGCATATTTACTCTTGCTCTTTCGGTTGATACCTTTATTGAAATATCTTGATGAATCAATAGCAGTTTAATTAAGGTGTTTTTTTTTTTCAATTATCGTTTAAAGTTTCATTGATGTTGACTAATAAAATATGATAAAATTAGCACTATTGATGGTAAATATGATAAGGGAGATAAAGAAAAAGAAAGAATGACGGCCCATTCAAAGTATTATAATGTTAAACAAATATGTCGACTAGATACACAGCGGCATGTTCTAAGCTGTTAGTGCAAATTAAAGCCGCCTTCAAACAGGTCCAAGATGATGAACATCCAACAATCGAAGAGTTTACTAGAAAAAGAAAAGTTGGTTGTTTTTATCATTAAAAAGTTTTCTGTTATAGGAGTTTGGTAAATAAAGTTTTGTCTTAAACATTTTTCCACTTGATAAATTTTTTATTGATTACCATTAAGATGAATTGTGCCGCAGCTCTCGAAAGAATTAAAGAAGATCGCCCAATAACAATAAAAGATGATAAAGGCAACACTAGCCGATGCATTGCTGATATTGTATCAGTGAGTAACACTCGTGTGTCATGTGTTTTTAAAATTTCATTTTTTTTGAATTTTTACAATTGCATACAGTTGTTCATCACGATCATGGATAAATTGAGGCTTGAGATTAAATGCATGGACGAGGTATTTTTAAGTTATATGGTTTATTACTTGAATTTATCGATCATGTACATTTTTAAACTATGCCTTTTTAATAATCGATAACATATTCTCCTATCAGTTGCAGCCAGATTTGAAAGAATTGTATGACACAATGAATAGATTAAGTCTCCTTGATTCTAACTACATTGGGAAATCAAAAGTTTCAGAATGGTAATACTTTATTTACTGTAACACATACACACTGTGTATATATATATAAATATATATATATATGTGTGTGTGTGTGTTGTGTGTGTATGCGTGTGTGTAATTTAGAAATATCACAGCATTGATGGCGTTGTTCAATAATCGAGTTTTTCAATTTTTGTACAATGAATTTTAGTTTTTTTTTATAAAGTGTAGAGAAGCAAACGTTAAAGAACTGAAATTGAGCAGAACAGAAATTTATAATTAACAAACCCAAGAACAAAACTAAGCAAATTATGAAAAATAAGTTTCAAAACTCGATTCTCTGTATGGTGGTAATAACATGAAAAAGGTTTGAGGAACAATAATATACAGCAACGTTCAACCAGTCATTTGCTACTCTGAAGAATGATAAAAGCAGATAAGAATATTTGGACGATTGGTGGAAAAGCAGAGTTAACCTGTTGAGGGTAAGTAAAAAAAAACGGTCGATTCATCACTAAACCGACTTGTTAGTGCTTTTAAGGATTGCAGGTCTGGCTTGTAATGTATGATACTTCATGTTTTAATTCCATTACGTTAGGTTAGTGTGTGCAAGAAAACATATGAACCGAGCTTTTCCCATAAAAATATTGATTATTTTGATTATTTATTATTTTGTCAGGTATGTCCATGGACGTTACTTATCTAGAATAAATTTAAAGTGTTGCATGGCGGTTGCATGGCGGAAAGGCTCAAATTGAACAGAACAGAAATTTATAATGAACGAACCCAAGCAAATTATGAAAAATAAGTATTTCAAAAGTCAATTCTCCAATTCTCAGAACATGAAAAAAGTCGTGAATCAAGAATGTACTGTTCAACCAGTCAGTTGCCACTATGGTTGAGAAGCCGAGTTAATGAGTTGAGAATTAGTAAAAAAAAAAACACAAAATGATCGATCCAATATTATAGAGAAAAATGCAAGCTACTTTTGGTGACCTGACTTCTTTATGGTAACTGCTTGAACCAAATGAACCACTTTCACATGAACCTCTTCCACAATTCTTATATTAATATATTTTTGGAACGAATGAAATATTGAATAATTTAAATGACACAGGCTGTCTGTATTGTCAGTCATGCAAGCATCCGATCAGTTATCTGAACCACAAGTCAGGCAGCTTTTGTTTGATCTGGACAGTTCTTATCAAGCCTTCAATCACGTATTGCACAATGTTTAGAATAACTTATACTTATAACTTGTCTTTTACAAAATTTTAAGCTTGTATAAAAAGACAATTATTTTTTAAAATGAAATTCTGAGGACATAATTGACGCAATTTTCGCACTTTTAACAAAATTTCTTAAATATTTTAAATCATTTTTTAAAATGAAATTCGGAGAACGTCATTGACGCAATTTTTGCACTTTAATGTGACTAATAAAATTTCATATTTTTTAAAAATTGCTTTTATACGTTAATACAGTCGATTCAAAAATATATTTTCACTCTATGGTGATAAGTCTTGAAATCAACATTTCGTTTTTGTCCGGTGAGGGTAGTTAATAAACTGAAGACAACACAATAATGCAATTATGAGATGTCTTTTTTCTAATTTTAACGTACAAGGCTAAATAAGAAATTCAGTCGTCAGTTAAATTTCAATGACAGTTTAATAACGATTAATTTACAGCGCTTCTGGCAATTTGTTCCTTTAAAATTAATATGCTCTGTCGTTGATCATGTGGGAGCGTGGCTATTTGTTCATCCGACAACTGTAACACTTGCATTATTAACGCAGCCTGTAGAAGAAAATTAATTATGAAGTATGTAGCACTTTGTCATGAAATCTGAATATGAATACAAAATCTAACTTTCTCTTGGTCTTGTACTGAAGCGTTGCCTCCCGCACTGTTATTTCCTGTAGGACCCATGGCATCAGTATTTACTTTTCCACCTGCACTAACATGTCTCCCTCCTCTTAAGTCAACATCCATGTTGTCCGCATGATTGTTGGAAGGTCTTCTGAATGGGACAGAAGGTTCATTCCCTCGATTTTCTTGTGGATAACCATGAATGGGTTGAAAGTTGCTTCCCCCGCCACTTCCCCTAGACATGTGCTCATATCTTTGTTCCACATCTTGATCCATACTTCCTCGTGCTGGCCCTCTAAAGCCAACTCGTGGTGGCGGTGGTAATATGTTAGCCCCTTCCATTCCTCTAAATCTTGGTGGAATATCAGAGTCCAACATTCTCCCTTCAGGTCGAACTCTGGGAGGTCTTGCGTTGTAATCAGGATGCAATCTAGGCTGTTGCTGAGTCATTTGTACTTCAGGCCTGTTAGTCTCATGCTGACTAAACGGTGGAAGGTTGTCGTGTGATATCGGGGTTCGTTGTTGTGGAGGCGGAGGTAGTCGATTTGGTGGGGGTGGAAGACTTTGGTTTCTTACCTCATTCTGGAATGGCGACCCCATAATTCTCCCACCTTGTACAGGCATGTCTCCTAGCAAGCCACCCTTTAGGCGAGGCTGGTTTCCTGACTTACTATCTGATATTATGAATTTATAAATACATGTATTTTAATCATAGTTTAAACGTTATCGAATTTTTAATAAGAAGCATGATCATAAACGACATTTTAAATGTTTTCATTAAACATTAAGCTACTATCAAGCAGGTAAGATTTTTTTCTTACATTATGTAATGGAATCACTTGGAAGGGTTAGGTATTCGGAGATACTCTTAAAGTTTGTAAATGTTACTGAATAGTAGAGTAATAGTAAGAGTAATAATCACATCACATTCTGAGTTACATTACTATTATATCCAAAAGTCAAATGTACAAAACCATCATATGGTAGTTAAATACTAATTCAACAAACTGAAGGTAACAATTAACTAAAAGATTAATAGGTTAATAGACTAAAAAGTGAATATATTTAAATAAATCATTTTTATCAATTTATCTTTTAGAATATGTTCAGATGGTTCGCTGTGCTTGATCGTTTTTCCGTTTTTTAATTTATAAAGCCAATTGATCACTAATTTTTTTATTGTCTAAAACATAAAATAAATTCCTATTGCATCGAAAGTTATATAATTTTCATAACAGTTCTAATGACAACAATCGTAACTGCAACATAAACAAACAATAATAGTAGCTAAATCATACCATTAAGGTTGTATTCATTCGTTGTTTTTGACAATTCCGAATTCTCTTCCTGTCAAAAATTAAAACCTATAAAACGTCACGAATCTGATGTTTTCGAATTTTTAACCACCTAATAAACTACCATCAATAATGTGAATCAAATTAAAACGTTAAAACTACTACCACCTTTTTGGAAGGCACTAATGGAGGAATTTGTTCAGCAGGCCTGTGCAACATAGCCTGTTTAAGAACGATCAACAATTGATAAAAATTAATTAATTAAACCACATCATTAATTAAGAAAAGGTCGTACAAGGGCTAACTGAGGATCAACTATCTTCATGACAATTTGTGCCTGTAGCAATCCATAAGCCAACTGCGGATTTTGAATAAGCATGTTACGAGCCTCGTTTGGGTTGTTCTGTATGCATAACTAACGAAATATTTTTTTTAATAGTAGTTGAATCATACCATTAGGTGTATTGCAACTATATTATAATTAAAACAAAGCACTACAAATATTTTTCAATGGTGTACTCATTCAAAAACTCGGAAATTATAGAAAAAACATTTTTGATAAAAACCTTCATTTGTTTCATTAATTCATACATCTGTTCTGGAGGGAGGCTTGCCACTGCTTTGCTAACTGTCTCAGGAGCTTTTTCAGGGTCTACGGGTTCGCCGTATGGACTCTATATAAAGATGAATAGTTATTACTTATGTATTTTATTTACTTAGCTTATTTGAGTGGAAGTAATAATAAATAATTATTTCGAGGCGTTGAGGGGTATTTCGGTTTCATCATAGGTAGCCAAACGGCAACCCCTGATCTTGGGGAGAATGTCGTCTAAACGTGTGTTGTTGTTAAGTAATAATAAATAATATATACAATAATACAATTTGTTCCCATAAAAAATATGTACCAAAAAAACAAAACTATTTTATAGTAGTTTAAAAAAATATAATGTCACCTCATATGCTTGATTACTAATTGTTCCTGTAAATTACATAAATTTTATATTAATGAATCATAGAAAAATTTATTTATTGTATCTAAAGAAATAAAAAAATTTGTTAATATAAGTATTTCAAATAAAAGTAAAAAAATTAAACATACAAATAAGAGTTTGCAAACGCTGAAATGAATTTAAGACATGATGGTTAAATGAGAATCGCATGTGATCAGAAAGGATTGATTAACAGACAGGATCGTAATGTATATGAGGTTTAGAAAGATCGACTGTAAAAATGGTGGATCAGGTGATATGGTTCACCTAAATTCGTTTGCAATGAAAGAGATAATTATAAGCTTATAACTTAGTTTGCATGAAGATGGAAATGATATACAAATTTTAAAATAGAGAGTGTGGCAAGCAATCTCTTTGTAACAGAAATTAGAAAAATGATAAGCATAATAATCAATAAATTTGGGAAAATACATTTTTTTAATAAAAAAAAAATATAAAAGTTGTCATATTGCAAAATTAAGTTTAGTATGTAACCCTAAAAAACAAAGACAACAAAAATTTTGCTGAATAACTGCTTAAACACAAAAAAGATTGGCGCATTTTACCATTTGAAAAAGATTAAACATTCAGATGGGAATGTCTTCAAGTTTTGAATGATCGATATACATTCAGAAAGATTCAGATTCACACAAACAAACTTTTAAAATACATTAGAAACTTCTTTAATGAACAAAATAGAAAAAGCATGAATATAAAGAAATAGCCAGTGAAATAAATAAAAAAAAGATGTAAAAAGAAACGACAAAAAATTGATACCAAAAGAAATTTTAAAACAAAAAACAGAAGCATCTTGAAATTTTATTAAAGTTGAATAAAAAGCAAGTTTCCAAGAGATACAGGTAAATTTACACTGATTTCAGTAGAGTAAGAGCTCAGCTTTTTCTTCTTTTTATGTACTTGTGTTTCTGACATCTTGTTATGTGATGTCCTATTTTAAAATTTTTGCCCACTTATGATGCACCTAGCTAGCTGAAATTTTTTGGGATAAGCTATCCAACCAACGTATTTTTTCAATGGGGGCCAATTAAATTAAATTTTATTAACCAAAATTAATTCAATAGAATAATTGACTTTACAAGTTGGTCTCTGTAGTAAAATTTTATAAAGAAATCTGAAATTGTGGATTTTTTTTACTAAAATGCTCTTGCAAACAAATTTTAAATAAACATGGCAAGTAAAATTTTCCATTGAGAATGCAAGAAGTAAAAGTAGACTTAATTAAATTAAATAAGTTAATGAATAAAACTAAATAAATGTATATAATAAATGTAAACAATAAATTTTAACGACAAATAAACAAATTTTTATAGAAACAAAGTGATACAAAAAACGATTAATAAATTCAGAAACTGGCCTCTGCCTCCTTCTTCTTTTGCTTGATCTCCAGCTGCAACACCAACTCTCAATGGTCGTCCATGGAAATCATAGTTATTTAAATTTCTCATTGCACTTTGAGCAGTTTCTGTATCTTGATATTCACAAAACCCATAACCCTTTGGCTTACCTGTTTCTCGATCGTAAACCAATCTGTAAAAATAATTTTATTTGTATTAGCCTTAGATAAACTAGAAAAAAAAATTAAAAAGGTTAGAAAGAAAAACTCTCCAATGTCATTCAATATCAAATACAATATTTCAGTCAAAAAGAAATGAACAGATGATTGAGCCATGGAGAATCTAAATAATTTGTATGTGTGAAAAAAGTCGAATGGGAAATGTTTGAAAAAAAATTCTAAAAATTGTATAAACAAAAAATAAAAAGTTATTGATAAGTAAGCCAATTTTCATATAAAAAGTGAAAAAATCCAAATTTAAGACAAAAGAAAAATAACATGCAAAATATATTTTGTTTTAAACTGATAGCCTAGACCAAAAGATGCACAAACATACAAATAGTTCACTTACAAGTTCACACCCATCATGCAAGCAATTCTACTTGATAAAAAAAAACATTATCTTAATTTTTTAATTTTCATAACATGCTAAAATGTTAATTTCTTTAACAAATTACATTACAATGTTCTTAATTAAAGTGTTTAAGTTTCATTTTTTAATGGACATTACAAAATTGGCACCTGTAATTTTATAATGCACATCAATAAATATCACGCAATTTTTCATATAAAAAGGTGCATGATATATATATATATATATACTATGTATATATATATATATATATGATATATATATATATATACAAAGATGTACGGTAGTTTTGTATTTATTATGCCTATCATATTTTCAATTAACTGAAAGTTAATCTTTCAACTAATGTTCAATTAAAAGTCAAATAAACCTCAGTTTGCAATGTAATATAATTGTGCAATAATTGAAGATTTCCTAAAATAAAAGTTTTGATATTTTCATTGATTAAAATACTATTTGCCATTGTAACAATGAAAAATCAACTTATTTTTAGATTTAGACTGAACATTTTCTCTCAAAAAACTAAAAATCCAAAAGCAAAAAAAACCATGAGTTTTATAAGCCAAATTTTTGAAATACTAATTAGAAAATTTTCAAGAAACAGAATTAAAAACAAAAAGCTTATACGAATACTACTATCTATCATCATTAATGCCATTCTTAATGCGTTTTTATACTTATATTTCTTACAATATATTTCAAACGCATTTTCACACAAACAAAGGCACATATACTCACTCATTCACTCACTTAATCAATCACTCACGCTAACCTGAAACTGACAACTGGACCCGCCTGGCTGAATATTTCTCTCAGTTGATCTTCAGTTGCTTCATATGGAATGTTACCAACTGATAAAAAATTTAATTTTAGTGAAAAAAAAAATTATTTTTCAAATATAAAGCTTTTGAGTCGATCTTGTAAATATTTGAATGTATTCATAACTTAGTTGTAATTAATCCATCACTTAGACGTTATTGCATGTGTAAGAAAATTCAATGTTAATTTCTGCACTGTATATGGATGGATGTTGTGAATTAAATCTAAACAGGTAAAGGTAATTTTTATACCAAATCTTCAACAATTTTTCAACATTTCAGCAGCGATATTTACGATAAATAGACAAACATATACATATGTCTTCATGTCTTTTGCTTTTAGCACTTTTTCAACAGTTTAGCAGAAGATGGAAATTTATGATACTTGTTTGGTTTGTCCTTTGACCAATTTAACATTTTATTCAACTTCAAATTTTTTTATTTTTACCATCTATTTTTGTAATTATTTTTTCTCTATTGCTTTTCTTTTATTTTGATTTATCTGGTCTTTAATTTACATAACATTTACTTCATTTTCACTATTTCTTCATTTTGTGGAAAATTCATTATTAGTAGTGATGGGCAAAAGTTAACTATAAAGTTCAACTTTTTAGTTTAACTAAAAAAATTTAGTTAAGGCCAGTTTAACTAAAAAATAAAAGTTCAGTTAAAACAAAAGTTTAACTAATTTTTTTTAGCTATAACTAAAAAGTTTAACTATAAATTTTGTAAAACTTTTTTTTCTACATTTTTTTCCAAACTTAAAAATTTTTAAAAACACTGGCTTGCAGTAAATAAATAATTAAAAGCATATTATATATTTTTGGTAACTTGATATTTGAATTTGAGTAAAAACGCGGTGTTTGTTGTTGGTTGCTGATTCGTTTGGTTGTTTTTGATTTATATCATTTCATGATGCATTTCAATCAATCGCGTTGTTTGTTCTTTACTTTTACAAAAACTTTTTTATAATTCAATATCTAAAATTAAAAATTAATTTTTATTTTATTTTTTTATATTCACAAAATATATCCAACTTTATTTTCAATTTCGATCAATTTCCATGTTATTGTCAGTATTTTGAAATTAATAAAATTAATTAATCTCAAATAATTTGCCTGTTAGAAATGGTATTGATTTTAGCTTACAGTTTGATCCCTTAATGAAATCTATTTCATGTGCAGAAATGAACATCTTACTGGTTACCACTTGTTTTGTTGATATTAAATTGATTGAGAACAGAAGTGACTACAAATTTCAGTGCTAAATGCAAATTTTGTTTAAACAAAATTGTATGTGGAAACATTTTTTCCACAACGAACTTCCTGGCATTTTTCTTCAGAAAATGACAACACAACTGTCTCAAAGGAAGTTTTAGATCAGTCTGTAATTCAGCAAAGTATAAAAAATATGAAACAACCAAAAATTCTTTGTTTGAAGAAGGATTGATAAAAATGTTTGTAAAAGACATGGATCCTATATCTAAAATTGAATGCTGTGGCTTCAGGAAATTTTGTTCAACATTTTTACCTCCGTATACTTTACCAAGCCATAGAAAAGCTACTGGTAAATTGTATGATCTATGTTGAAAAAAATAAAATAATAGGAGAGCTTGTAAATGTCTGTTGAGTTTCAGCAACTGCTGATATTTGGAGTGCTCATAAAAGGGCATTCATGGGCGTCACATTACACTATATTGATCCAGTCATACTAAAAATGGTTTCTTCAGCTTTGGCTTGCAGAAGATTTAAAGGTAAACATACAGGAGATGAAATTGCCAAAAAGCTTATTTCTATTCTCAAAGAATTTAGCATCCTTACTAAGGTGCAGAACATCATAACAGATAATGCCACAAACTTTGTGAAGGCGTTCAGTTTATATTCATAGGTTGCAGATGACTCAGTTCCAGCATGAATGCATTTATGGATGGCGTTGACCCTAAATCCGAGGATTATCTAGACATAATAAAGATCACCGACAGTCTGGACACTGTCAATTCATTGTTAATTGAAGATGAAGAAACTGATGATGCAGAAGGATTTTTTTGCCACCATATGAGCGATGTGGAAATCACTCTCTTAACCTCGTTGCCAGTGTTGATGCTGCAAAGGCAAGAGAAGACTAGGCATATCAAAGAATGTTTGATAGAGTTATGGCAAAAATACAAGCACTCTGGAATGCGGTGAGTTGAAGTTCAAAGCAGAATGATATTGTTGATGAAATTACAGGCAAAACACTCATTTAATCTACGTACACACGATGGTGCAGCGAGTACTATGCTGCAGAGAGAGTAGTTCAGATTGGTTTAGAAAAAGTGGTTAAATGTCAGCAAGCTCTTGGACAAGCCAAAATGATAGAAGCTTAAATGAAGTTTTTGAATGGCTACCTGGTTACAATGAAGCCTGTTGTCAAAGCTATGAAGCTTCTTGAAGGAGACTCGGATTGTTATCTTGGTGTACTAATACCAACCATTATGGGAGTTCAAAGTATTCTTGAAACCATCAGTGACATTTCAATGAAGCCACTTGTTCATGCATTACAAAATGGATTGCATCTTAGATTCGAGCATGTTATGAAAAGTCATGAATACAAAATAGCTTCCTTGTTTCACCCAAAATTCAAAATGGCATTTTTATCAAATAATGAAAAGATACAAATGAAAGAAATACTAAGTGTTTATTATTCCAAGTATATGAGATAAACATTCTAATTTTTATTATTAATCTAAGTTCACTTTTAAGTTTATTTACACTCTCACTTCCATGTTTATCTCCTAAAAATAATTGCATGTGTAATCTGACTTTTTTATTATTCTTTAAAAAATCAGGATCTGACATGACATACGCAGAAACTGTTACAGTATGCAAGGCTACAGTAGTATAAAATTAAACAAAAAAAAAATAAATGAGTAAATAAATAAAAAGACTTGTATATCTTTACCCTAGTTTATACACAGTACAAATTTTATATTATTTTTTATTTAATGGATTATTTATATTTATTACTTAACAATATTATGTATATATATATATATATATATTATTATATAACATTAATATACAATATTTAATTATGTATATATAACATAAAGTATAAACCTCAAGGCACGAGGGTTAATGGTTAAGTCACCTGCATTGTTAATGTAGTGTCTGGATTCGAGTGTAAACCTACCTATCTCCACCTATTACAATGTTAGGTACACTGTGTGTTTGTTATAATATGTTATAATAATAATAATGTCTCATAGTCGTTTGCAATGGCGGTATATAAAATGACATTTTTATTAAATTACATTATTATGTAATGCACACACATTGCTGCGTGTACCTGTACTGTTTGTGAAATCTAAAAACCTGCTTGTGGTAATGTAAATATTATAATTATTATGTATAATATGATGTAAATACTATAAATTAAAACTTTATATTTACTTTACACTCTCACTTCCATGCTTATCTCACAAAAATAACTAGTAGTCCAACTTGTAAACCTTTGCTGAAACTAGTTAATATTATTATCTAGTTTCTACAAAGTACAAGCTAAAAGCCTAAAACAAAAAACTTACACTTACAAAGCTTATATACTAAAGCAATCAATCAATCAATTAATTAGCTTGTAAAGTGCTATTTCGATGATGTTCAATAACGCTCCTCAATGAATTTTCCAAACAGATGGGTCTTGAGATCCTCTCTGAACTTCGCAAGTGATGGAGAAGTAGTCAGAGAAGTAGATAGAGAGTTTCAGAGAAAAGGGCCAGAAAAAGCAAAAGCAGATTTGGCAAAAGAGTGTTTAACATGAGTAAAGAAGACGATCCTAAACTGGGCGTTTAGGTTCAATTAATATGAATATTTAGGAAATAATTTAGATTGAGACTTATACATGAACGTGCAAATTTTAAAAATTATTCTATATTTTATAGGTAGCCAGTGCAAGAGAACAAGATATGGAGATATATGAGAAAAGAAAGGGGCACGAGCAACTAGACGAGCAGTAGAGTTAAAAGCTTTACTTAAAGGATAGAGTATAGAATCAGGAAGACCATAGTAGAGCGAGTTACAATAATCAATCCTAGATAAGACTAACAAAGTAACAAAAAGGAGAAGATTAGGATCAAGGCAAAAGTTTTTTATTCAACTTAGTTAGATGAAAGTAAGAGCTTCTAGCAACACTCTATTAATTTGAGAAGAAAGAGACATAGTAGAATCAAAGATTAAATTACGAAACTTGTGAGAGACATCAAGAGCTTTAGAATCAGGTAAGATAATAGCAGGAATAGTAATAGAGTGTTTAGATTTCATTTATTAAAACAAATTAATTAATTAAATTAAAATTAAAACAAATCACAAACATATCAAAATCAAACTATTTTTTTTTAATTTAATTAAATTAAAATAATTACTTTATATTATATTCAAAACTGGCAATCAAAAAAAAATTAAACTCACCGAAAACTGATCTTATAGACCTTTCTTCCGCCATCGTATAAAAAAGCAATGCTTTTGTTTTTAATTGTGAATTATTTATGAACCGACAACAAAACTGCGCCCGAACAAACAAAATAATGACGATAATATAATGTTTGCTCAAATCATAGATGCATTAATTGCAAAATTTTATGATCACATCGTTGGAACTTAAAATACTCATTCGGACTCTCAAACGCACCCGCAAACATTTTCAATGCGCTTTAGAGTCTGGTCTAATTCCTTAGTTTACATGAATCAAACTTATCAAATTTTACAATTTGAATTAATTTGTTTTAATAAATTTAAACACTGTGTTACTATTCCTCCTATTATCTTACCTGATTCTAAAACTCTTGATGTTAAAACTCTAAAACATCGCAACGGCTTCCCATACAATATAGAATAATTTTAAAATTTGCACATTTATGTATAAGTCTCAATCTAAATTATTTCCTAAGTACTTATCAGGTATATTAATTGAACCTAAACATTATGGTTTACGATCGTCTTCTTGTTGTCACTTCTTCTTAACTCGTGTTAAACATTCTTTTGCTAAATCTTCTTGTTCTCGCTTCTTCTTAATTCGTGTTAAACACTTTTTTGCTAAATCTGCATTATAGTTTTCTCTGGTTCTTTTCTCTGAAACTCTCTACCTTCTTCTCTGACTACTTCTCCATCACTTACGAAGTTCAGAGCAAATCTCAAGACCCATCTGTTTGCAAAAATCATCGAAGACCGCTGTTGAACATCGCGGAAATAGCGCTCTACAAGCTAATTAATTGATTGAATTTTTACATTTTATAGCTTATTAATAAATATTTATTCCAGGGAAATGCCTGTCAAGCACGACGGTCTCAAAAATGATCCGGCTATACGTGGAACAATGACAAAATATGCAAATGGAGCAAGTTAAAAATGATCAAAATAAATATGATGTTCATAATCTAAATAAAAAATATTAATAAAATATCAAAATTTAAAAATAACAATTTTGATAAATTTTTGTTTATACAAAAATTGTTCACTTTTCATCGTTTTTATGGCTAACTATTTCCCTTATTGACAACTTTTAGTTTAATGATAATATTGATTTGTTGATGTTTGTTTTTTACGTTCTGCTGTTTTGTGGTAATTAATTTTACGCATTACTTCGCGACTGCGCCAAATTTATATATAAGATTTTTTTCTGAGATGATATTGACAATGGCACCTATTAATTTATTTTTAAGTTAAGTACATTATTAAACTATTAAAGACTAAACTAAAGTGAATCAATTAATAACAGTCTCTATATTTCACCATTATAATAATTAAATAATAAATACTAATAAAAATACGTAATACTTTACAATATAGTATACGCTACACTACAACTACTCACACTAATAATACACTCTACACTCACACTAGTATAATATATCTGTAACATTGTAAGTGGTTCTACGTTTGTAGGACTTATGTCAGAGCTGCAATAATAAAGAGTAAAGACTAAAAAAAGGTGTAAATATAAACTATGCACATGTGCTATATTTTAATCTCTTATAATAATTATAATAACTTGAATTACTTTTCTTTTTCTACTTACCACTGGAAACCAACTAAACTAAAGACTTACACTTATGACTAAATAAATATAAATAAAAGATAGTTGGTTTTAACCCACTAATACTAATAAATAACCAGCTCTAATTCTGATCTCATAAAAATAAATAATGCTTACAAAACTTGTTTGCTGATTTTTAACATTATGATTATAAATAATAATTTCTTTTTTAGTTACTTTTACTACTTTTCACAGCACTGAATTTTACTAACTCCTGTGTCTAAGTTAGCTTAGTTTTTATTTATAAAAATGTAATTTTATGTGGTAAAATCTTAGTAAGTTGTTTACATAGAATAATTTTGAAGACCTTTAAATTTGACTCCGTCCTTCATTAATATTCATGACCAACCAAAGCGCTTCATTTAATTGTAATAAATTATGAACAAATTTTTAAGAAATTTAGTGTCCAGAGACCCAGTTCCTCGAAGTAGGATGTTGAATGTTGAAAATAAAATGAAATCATTATTATTAAATAAATAATTTTAAAAATTATCTTTAAAAATGTTAACTAATAATTTTGATGCCAAATAAAATAAACTAATATATTAAAATACAGATTAAATTTAAACAAAATAAAGATTGAATTTAAATGAAATAGTTAAGCTGTGCAATTTCTTATATGAAAGAGCTTTAATATAAAAACGAAATTATTCTTTCCTTTTTCTTTTGATATTTTCTTTTCCATTCTTCACTTGCACTTATTTCTATTTTTCATTCCTCAGTTAAAGGAATAAAAATAGTTGAACGGTTGAACGAGTAGGTAGTTTTTTGAACACAGAAGATGCTTTTAGGTGGGCAAAACGGCACGGTTTGATAGCAGCCATGATGACATGTTTTGCAGCAAGATTTACATACTTTTCATGCTTAAACATTTTTTCTCCATCAATTATTTTTTGTTATAATTTTATACATTTGCCTTGCATGCTGTACAGTTTTTGCATTTGTCAGTTTCTGATTTTTTTAAGTAATAAAAAAAGGTTTGCAGAATGCGCAACAACGGTAGATGGCTATTTGTGGGATAGCCCTGCACGAATAGGTGGCTCCGGACACATTGTTCAGATAGATGCGAGCTGCATCTCATCTGCAAAGAGATTGAGGAACCAGAATGCGCGCCCAGTTAGGGCACACTGGGTTTTTGGAGGCATCGATATGCAAACAAAGGATGGATGCCTTTCTATTACACATTTATACTTCTTTTCCTCCATCTAATCTTAATAGTGTTCTTCATAATTTATCTCTATGTCTTTCTTCAATTATCGCTTGGTCTGACTCTATGTGTCTTAAACTTAATCCTTCTAAGTTTGAATTAATTTGTTTTAATAAATCTAAACACTTTATTACTATTCCTCCCATTATCTTACCTGATTCTAAAACTCTTGATGTCTCTCATAAGTTTCGTAGTCTAGGTTTTATCTTTGATTCTACTATGTCTCTCTCTTCTCAGATTAATAGTGTTGTTAGAAGCTCTTACTTTCATCTACGTAGAATAAAAAAACTTTTGCCTTTTCTTGATGATCCTACTCTTCTCCTTCTTGTTACTTCGTTAGTCTTATCTAGGATTGATTATTGTAACTCGCTTTACTATGGTCTTCCTGACTCTATACACTATCCTTTAAGTAAAGCTTTTAACTCTGCTACTCGTCTAGTTGCTCGTGCCCCTTTCTTTTCTCATATATCTCCATATCTTGTTCTCTTGCACTGGCTACCTATAAAATATAGAATAATTTTTAAAATTTGCACGTTCATGTATAAGTCTCAATCTAAATTATTTCCTAAGTATTTATCAGATATATTAATTGAACCTAAACGCCCCGGTTTACGATCGTCTTTTTCTTCTCGCTTTTTCTTAACTCGTGTTAAACACTCTTTTGCCAAATCTGCTTTTGCTTTTTCTGGTCCTTTTCTCTGGAACTCTCTACCTACTTCTCTGACTACTTCTCCATCACTTGCGAAGTTCAGAGCGGATCTCAAGACCCATCTGTTTTCAAAATTCATTGAGGAGCGCTGTTGAACATCGCGGAAATAGCGCTTTATAAGCTAATTGATTGATTGATTGATTGATATTAGAATTAGAAAGGCGAGATGCTACCACGTTGTTCCATAAAGTTTAATGTTTTAAAATTCATTTTGGCTGGTTATGAAATTAGTTCGGTTTTAATAATTTCAGATAATAGTTTAGTCGGCAGCTTATAACAGCATAACACCCATAACCGTTCTATACCATCAAACCGTGAATCTCTCCAATACATTTGGGCAGTAAACGGAGTGCACACAAATGGAGGGGAGAATGTGTGGCGATGCACCCAACAAAAATTTAAGAGAATGAATGGTACGTGCGATGCTCACGTATCATCATACCTTGCTGAATTTATGTGGCTGCATACCTTCGCAGATAGAAAAGAGCGGTTCCAGAAGCCCTTGAACTTATTCGACATTATTACGCTGTCTAAAATTTTGACACATTATTTTTTCATTAACTATTGATTATTATTAGATACACGATAAAATTTATACATAACGCATCGCCTGTCACGCGAATCATCAAGAGGCGCGTCCGCTGGTGAGTCACTGGCCGGAGATGATAAGTGAGCTACAGCGACCTGGGATGGTCTTAACACCTGTCGACCACCCTGTAAAAATGTTGAAAATAAAATCAGACTGGGACAGTGAATGTCGGAACGATGAGAGGGAGACACGGAGAGATTGTGGATATGGCAGCTAGATAAAGGTTGGATTTCTGCTGTGTACCGGAATCCCGTTAGAAGGATGGCAGTTCAAGAACTATGGGGCATGATGATGGATTGTACAAGTTCTTCTGGGTTGGATGCGAAAAGGGAATAGCAGGTGTGGGTGTGCTAGTAGCGGAAAAGTGGATAGATAGCGTAGTGGAAATGAGGCATGTTAATGAGCGTGTTGTGAATGAGCGTGTAATGGTGTTGAGAATAGCTATTGGGAAATCTTTGCTGAATATTGTTTCAGTGTATGCACCTCAGGTAGGAAGACCAGTAGAAGAAAAAGTAGAGTCTTATATTCTTTTGGGTAATGAGTTAAAAAATGTTGGTAAAAATGAGATTTTGATATTATGTGGTTAATCTGAATGGACATGCTGGTGCTAGAGTGGATGGATTTGAAGGAATGCATGGTGGGAAATGGTATGGTGCTAGAAATTTTGAGGGGGAAATGTTACTAGAGTATGCAGATTCTATGGGGTTGGCTATTTGCAATACATGGTTCACAAAACCTGATTCACAGAAAGTGACATATCAATCGGGTGGGCCATGTATTGATGAGAAAAGAAAAGAGAACCCTGGTCAGTAATGTAAAAGCTATATCAAGTGAAGCTTGCATTGCACAACACAAGTTAGTCATTTGTGAAATGAACCTGAGTGGCAAGCTTGCAAAGAAGAAGGAGGTATTCATAAGTAAGTGTAGAGTTTGGAAATTGAAGGAGGAGGAGCCACGTCGTGTCTTTCAGGAAAAGATTCAAGAAAAAGCAGATGTGAGAAGTGATAGAGATGTGGATAGCATGTAAAATTTGTTTAAGAATAGCTTGCTGGTAGTGGCCGATGAGGTTTACGGTAGAACTAAGGGCTAGCCAAGACACAGGGAATCGTGGTGGTGGAACGTGGAGGTTGGGAAGATTATAGAGGCAAAGAGAAAGTTTTATAGAATATGGAAGAAGACCAAGAAGAAGGAGCCACAGTATCTTGTATTTTTCAGCTAAGCGAGAGGCAAAAAGAGCAGTTTACATGGCTCAGTCAGAGGAGCCAAAGGTATTTTGTGAAATGCTAGATTATTCAGAGAAAAAAGGAACAGTGAACAGAGTAATAAAACAAATCATTAGAAAGAAGAGATGTTAGGGTAGGCTGTTTCAAGGGGCTGGATGGTAAACTACTCACGGCTAAAGATAATGTGAAAGAGAGGTGTAAAGATTATTTTGAAAAGCTATTTAATGAAGGGTATGAATGGGATAAGGATGGTTTGTCTAAGGTGAATATGGTGAGTGGTCCTGCAGAGATTGTAACCTACAGAGATGTGAAGTTTGCTATTTTCAAGGCCAAGTCAGGAAAGGCTGCTGGTCCATCAGGTCTGGTATTGGAAATGCTAAGAGCTTCAGAGAATGTAGGTGTCCAGTGGACAAAAGATCTTTTTAACGCAATAGTGCGGGAAGGCAAAGTTTCTAATGATTTGAAGAAAAGCGAGCGAAAAATTGGAAAGACTGGAACCTTCTGACAGCGAGATATCTAAAATGTTAGAGAAGCGTCGGTAAGACGGATATATAAAGACGTGCAGGATATTGAATTGCGATTGTTAATGTCGAGAGCGATATTTGATATTTGACTAAGCGTTGTATTTGCGACGTACGTTAGTGAATTGTGATTGGAGAAGCGATAGTTTCAGAACGTTAACTTGATAGTTTGTGAACGTTAATTTTTTTATCTAACATTTTAACTAATTATTGATTAACATTGATTATTGGTTTGTAAATTAATAAAACGACTGTTTAAAACTTATTTCGTTTCGCTAGTTTTCATCCCAGTGATTGCAAATTCGTCGATTCGTATTTATAGGAAAAAATTGATTACATTTTGCTGATATGAATGCGGGCATACTACCTTATAACAATTCCAAAAAATGTCAATTTACTTTATTCATGTCGTCCAAGATTTAGGTCTGGATTTAAACAATTTGTTAATGTGCAAAAGAACTAAATAAAACACCAATCGCTTTAATTTGTTCAATGTTTTTCGTTATATATAGAAAATAAAGTAATTCTACCATTTAAAAGCGTTATACAGTTCAGTTGATAACTCGGTTTCTGCTTTGACTACCGACTTAAACTACATTTCAACGAATTTATTCAATCGCTAGTTGAATCAATTTTTTGGTAAGGCTCGTATTTTTTTATATAATGTTTTGCATATTTTAGTTGGCGCAAAAATAATTTCATAAGTTATATTTTGTTTAATATATGCTATATTATTTTGTCAGAAAAAACACTACAGTTTATTTTATGTAACCTAAGTAAACGCTTTTTTTATCTGTGCTACTTAAAATTAAAGTTCTGCACTATTGTGGCCCCCGGTCGCACATCGTATTAGGCCGCTAGATTCTGTTTATTGTTGATTTCCCATATATGTATATACTCTCTCTCTATATATATATATATGAATAAACTATTTGCATCTTTTATATTTATTATTTATCCAGTGGCGGATTAACCTTTTTGCCGCCTAGAGGCACTCGTGGTTTGCCGCCCCAATTTTAAATTTTATAATAAATTTAGAAATTAAATTCATATAAACGCAATATTTTTAAAACATTTTTATTAAGTACATTCTTTAATAATATTCATGTAATGTAATATTATCAATTTTAAAAAATAAATTTTCTTTCATTGCAGTTTATGAAAGTTATTTCAAAACTTTACGACGTGCCTTCCTGCGCGTAAATTCATCAATAACGAATTTAATGTCTAAATCTTGCAAAATTGTTTTTTCGATGCATAGAATTGCAAGATAATTTAACCTTTCTTCGGACATTGTCGAACGCAAATAGTTTTTAACGCGCTTCAAACGGGAAAAAGATCGCTCGGCCGAACAGTTTGTAGCAGGAGTACAAGTGTACATCCGAAGTGCAATGTCTACATTTGGATATACACACTGCAAGTCATTCAATCTTATCCATTTACACAAATCAATGGGAGTGTGTGGAACTGCATTTTGGTCTAAGGTAGCCAAATGAGACTTTAAATGCAACAGTTCAGTATTTAAGTTGTCGTCTAGATCGTTTGTCACCCAATGACAATGTTTTGAACTGTACAATTGCTTTGAAATTTTCATTAATTTCTACATAAGCGTTTCGTTTCTTGTTCATTTCAGAATTTAAGTTATCCACAATTACCAAAAATGTGTTTACACGAAAATTTTCTCGAGTGGTAAAATTTAATTAAAAATCTTTATATAAATATAAACTGCATTAAATTAAGTTAAATGAATTTGATTGAATTTATTTCCTAAATTTTATTTTATTAGAAGAAGTTTGAAAAATAAAAATGGATAAGTTTTTGATAAAACTGCCAGCCAAAACATCCGGGACTGGAACGGTTTCAGAAGACTCAATTATCCAAGAAAACACCACAGTAGCGGATACAGATTTTATAGTAGAAGGCACATCCACTACTGTTACCTCTGGTAGATTTACGACTACAATTACAAAACGTCGTTTTGTTCCAACTTGGACCAATAACTTTTCCTGGATTCTGTATGATTCAGAAAAAAATATTGTTCTTTGATCCACGTGTCGAGAAATATTTTTCACAATGGGTCTGCCGTTTTCTTCTAAAAAAGAAACCGCTTTCATTGAAACGGGTTTTAATAATTGGAAGAAGGGGTTGGAAAAATTTAAATTGCACGAAAGATCACAAGGCCACAAAGAAGCCGTATTTAAATCTCATACCATGAAGTTATCAGTTAACGTTGTTGCACAGGTGATTATATAGTTTAATTTGTATTTGACATGACAGGTTATCCTAAAATGTAAACACTTTTTATTATAATTACAGATTTCTGAGCAGAAAAAAAGAGTTATTGGATAATAGAAAGTGCCTGAAAAAGATTTTTTCTTCTCTGTTGTTCTTAGCGTCACAAGGTCTTGCAATACGTGGTCACGATGATGACGCAAGTAATTTTGTAAATTTACTTAAGTTAAGAGGTGAAGATTCTGAGGAACTGCAATTGTGGCTAAAATCTGAATCATATACTTGGTGTAGCCATGGTATACAAAACGAAATTCTTGATCTTCTGAGCCATACTCTTCTTAGGAAAATAATTTCATTAGTTAAAATAGCGGGTTTTTATGCTATTATATGTGATGAGACGGCAGATATATCTCGCAAGGAGCAATTTGCTTTTTGTCTAAGATTTACAAAGAATCCATTAGAAGCAGAAGAGATGTTTGTCGGATTACGGAGTGGAATCTACAACCTCAGCTGCTTTGTATTCGGTGATCAAAGATGTTCTTCTCAGATTTAATTTACCACTGTCTAACTGTAGAGGACAGTGTTATGACGGGGCTAGAAACATGGCTGGTGACAAACTAGAATTCAAGCTAAAATTCTTGAGGACGAAAAAAAAAGCATTATTTATTTATTGTTTGGCTCATTCATTAAATTTGGTAGCTCAGGACGCAATCAAAAATTTTCCTATTTGCAGGGATGCATTAAATATGGTTAAAGACATCATCAACTTTGTGAGGGACTCGCTTAAACGATTGGCTATATTTCACAATTTAAAATCTGATGTTTGTACAGGCCTCCGACCTCTTTGTCCAACCCGATGGACAGTCAAATATGTCTCTCTGTCGTCTCTTTTATCAAACTACTCAAAATTAATAGATTTCTTTACCGATATGGCTGAAAATGATTCATCAGATTCTGGTGCAAAAGCTTCAGGATTTTTACGGCTGATGGAAAAGTTCGATTTTTATTTTACTTTGATAATGTTAACAAAATTATTTGGATACATAGATACGGTTAACACAACGTTACAAAAAAAATCCTTGCAATTTGAAGAAGCGCATCGGATGATTGCAACATTAAAAGCCAGTCTCAGTTTTTGCCAAAAAGATTTTTCTGAATTTTGGCAGAAAGTAATTTCTGATAAACCTGCCGAGGTAGAACAAGGGGAACTTAGACAGCAGAGAAAACGAAAAATTCCAAAACGATTCGAAACTAATGATTTGCCAGAACCACAAAATAATCGTTCTCTTAAGGAGATATATCAATCGCAATATGTGGAGATTATTGATGCGATTTTAAAAGCACTGGATACGAGATTTGAGAGCAAATCATTCAAATTCATTTTGGAAATCGAGCAGTTTTTGCTAGGTGACGATACAAACAAATCAAAGATTCTCAAATTTTATGAAGAGGACATAGATCCAGACCGCTTGATTGTGCAACGAGAGATGCTGCTGCAAATTTTAAAAGAAGCAGATCAATCCCTTGAAAGTATAAACGATATCATCAATTATTTGAAAAAGCAGTCACATCTAATTGAACTTCTTTCGGAATTAGTCAAGTTTTTAAACATTTTTGTGACCTTTCCTACGACTTCCGCCACCGCTGAACGATCATTCTCTGGGCTGAGAAGGTTAAAAACATATCTAAGATCGACAATGGGACAAAAACGACTCAATTCTGTATCGCACAAAACCGATACGCACTGGTGACATTTGGAATCTAGTATATGCTGATGATATCGTTTTAATAGCCACGTCTGAGCAGAATGCAGCACAGAAGATTGTAACACCAGACTCGCCGATCATGGATTCAAAGTCAACATCAGCAAAACCACAGCAATAAAAACTGGTGAACCCATCTAATCCACAGCTACTGGACGATGGCCCTGTTCAGTTTGTAAAGCTGGTGTAGGTAACAATTCAATAAGTGTCAGCAGTGTAACCAATGGTGTCACAAACGTTGTTCAAAAATAATTGGTACTTTATCTAAATTGTCCAATTTTGTTTGTCTTGCTTGCATTAATCCACAACAACAAATTCGAAATAGCACTGTTTTTGAAGCCATTAAAATAGAGAAAGTCACATCGTTTCAATATCTAGGGGATGTTCTGGATTGTACTGGAAAGTACGCATACGTGCAGCCTGGAATAAATGGCAGCTCCTTGCCTCTATATTGATGCGGCGTGACATCCCACTACTACTACGATCAAGACTTTATAAATCTGTGATACGTCCGGTCTTGTTATATGGTGCAGAAACATGGCCAATGACAACCAAACTGGAACAACAACTTCAACGAACCGACATGAAAATGCTCCGATGGATTCAACGAATTAGTCTGAAGGACCACATCAAATCTACCGAAATCTTGCGTCGTGCTGGTTTAGATGATATAAAGGACGAATGCCGGCAACACCCTCTGCGGTGGTTTGGTCATGTCAAACGAAGTGGAAACAGTGCCATAACTTCTCTTGCAGATGTTGAAGTACCTGGCACACGTCCCAAAGGCCGTCCAAAGAAGTCCTGGTCGCAAACAATCGAGCAAGACATGAAAGCTCTAAATTTAAATGAAAAGTTGGCGCAAAAAGTTGATGGTATAGAAAACAACGTCCTACCTCGGGAAACCGGGTCTCTGGACGCAAAACGTAGATTGATTGATTGATATTGTAATTTTTTGTTTGATTTTAGTCTTGGTGGTCTTCGCCAGTACTTTTGTTACTTTTTGATCTCCTGACTTTTTTTTTGTCAAATAAATTTGGAAGAAAAAAATATATATATATACATATATAAGGTATCTATATCTATGTGTACAATATGTTTTATTGTAATAATGTAATATAAGTTATATTAACATAATAGAACAGAGAACACACACTTGTCACTTTTGTGTGTGTGTGTGGCATCGTGTTCATTCATTTTATTTATAAACCAACTAAAAAAAATTAAACATGTATTAATAAATTTAGCAAGTAAAATGTGTTTATTCATTTTATTTATAAATCAACTTAGAAAAATTAAACATGATTGCCAAGTCATGTTTATAATGAGCAGAGGCGCAGTTAAGAGGAGTCGGGAGGTAAATATGTCCCCGGATGCCAAAGTACAGAGAGGTGCCAAAATGAGGCTTGAAAATTTCGCTATAAAGTTAAAAACCGGTCACAAGCAAGACTGCAGTATCGGCTGTGTTACTCCTACCACGTCTAAACTGACGCTGCTGCCAGATAAATTATGAACATTTCGATATAACTTCAAATAATTTCGAACCCGTTCCAAATTGGTGTATCTTGACAGAACTTTAGTTTGCTTACTATGCTACTAGTGCAGCCGCACGATTCCGGATTGATTGAAACAGTGATAGTCTAGCGATGCTGTTCATAAAAAAGCAGTTACAAATTGTACAACCATCAGCGTCTACCCTCGACGACTCTGCATCATGAAATTTAAGCCTCGTGGTTTATATTGCCTGGTGCTGTTTCGCTGTGACCGAGTTCGATTATGACAAAAAGATCTTCACCTATCAAATGCCTCGGATGTGATGCATTGTTTAGCATTTATTAATATACCATGTTTGTGGCGTGCTGTTGATTTCTCTGAACCTGGGAACAGTGCAAGACCTTTAGCCTTTTTAATTTTTATCTTATAAGAATCGGCACTGACACCATGAAGATTATGGGGTCGATGACCATGACAAACGCTCATACTACATACGCTTATCCTCGTATAACGATCCTTGTCTAATCATTTTTTAGCTAATTTTAAATTAACTTTCAAACACAAATTTATTTGAAATTTTAATTAACTTTCAAACACAAATTTATTTTAAACTTTAATTACTATATAACAAGTAATCAGCATACAACATACGTCTGGACTCAAGTTTTTATGACGAAAGAAATGTGTGGGGTCAGAGTACTTTGTTTTTAAATACTGTAACAGAATGTTTGCAAAAATTATATCAAAATATTGTTACAAATAAACATAAATAAACATAATGTGAAAACTTTCACGCAAGCTAATGAACATTTACATGCTCAACTAGTGACATCCTTTCCGTAACTCATCTTTCGATTTGCCCATCTGCTTTGGCATTTTTTTTTGCAATCCGTCAACAAGATTTTTTTCTTTATAATAATGCGGCGCAATTTCAAGCAGCCATGCGTTTTCAATGGCAATGACCTGCCTCATAAACTCTTTCGAAGTGAAAACAAGTTCATTATAAATTAAATATCTAGGTCTGTCTTCAACGATGCAGCTGGATGGGTGAATGGAAACAGTTTGTTGATGTTTCACTGTTTTATAATTACCACTTTTATCCAATCTGGCAGTATTATAAAAAAATCCTGCCGTTATTGCCTTTCGGATTGCAATGTTATCTTCAGAACTTGTAGGTTCTATTTCTACTCTTTCAATGAGACCCATCAATTGATCACGGACATCTCTGGCTCTCTTTAATGACCTTTATAAGAAAATTTTAAATAAAAATTTAGATTTTAATTAAACTTTGATGCATGTCAAATAAAAATTATTATGAATTTTCTTGAGAAAAAGTTATTAAGTTAGAAATAAATATTCGGGCACACGGCTATAATCAACAAAGCAAAGTGAAAATTTATCCATAAATTTTAAATGACTTTTTGTACTGAAAAGATTTACATAAGTATTATAACAACAAATAAATAATTCTAAAATAATTTGGATAAATCAAAAATTTTTTCATAAAATTTAGCAAACCTGTGTTGTACAAAGTTTTCAAAGCACCACTGAGTGCTGAATCCAGTTTCTTCCCATCTGTTATAAATATTTAGTAGTGTCAGGTGGTCACCCACAGCTTGAGGTTTGCAATAAAAACTTTGTCGAGCTGTATCAGCATGAATACGTTTGTCCTTAGGTCTGTAAAATATAGAACTGCTGACAGACAACATAGCTGTAATTGTTAATATTTCTTCTGTACACTTAAATTTCTCAGAAGCCAATATCATTTTGGAAACCATTGGATCAACTGGAAACTCTGCCATTTTTCTGCCCGTTTTTGTGAGTTCACCATGGCGATTCAATGCACCCAATGCATATAACTGCTCCAGTGCAAGTATAAGAGACTCGTGAGGAGGAGGGTCCATAAACTCAAAATGTAGAAGATCATGAATGCCTAAACTCTTCAGCATCAAAACAACATTGCCTAAATTTGTTCTTTGAATTTCTGGAATAATGTTTTCATCGAGTTCATGTTTATAATTCCAAGCAGTATAAAGTCTAAAACATTTTCCAGCTGAAACCCTGCCTGCTCTACCAGCCCTTTGGTTAGCCATAGCTTTAGATATAGGAACAACAACCAGTGAATCAATTCCTGTCTTGGCATTATAACTACTTTGTTTGCAAAAGCCAGTGTCTATGACATAGACAATTCCATCAATTGTTAATGAAGTCTCGGCAATATTTGTAGCCAAGACAACTTTCCTTGCACCAGGTGGGGTTGGTTCAAATATTTTTGCTTGGAGATCAGTTGGTAAATTGGCATATATAGGAAGAATGATGAGCTCTTTCAATTTTGTTCCCAATGCCTTTGTTTTTTCCAGCAACATTTCCTGGGCTGACTCAATTTCCTCTTGACCAGTAAAAAATACAAGAATATCACCCAAAGGTTGTGTTACATGAATTTGCAAAATACTAACCACTGCAGCGTCAACATAATTTGCTTCAGGGGCTTTTGTATAGAATATATCGACTGGATATCTTCTTCCTGGAATTCTGAATATTGGTGCATCATCAAAAAACTTGGAAAACTTATCTGCGTCTAATGTAGCACTTGATATTATAAGTTTTAAATCAGATCGAAATCTAGCTATGTCTTTGACCAGTCCAAAAAGGATGTCTGTGTGGAGAGTCCTCTCATGTGCCTCATCTATTATCATCACACTATAGCTGGCTAAGTCTGGTTCACTTAAAAATTCACGAAGCAGCATTCCATCGGTCATATATTTAATTAATGTACGCTCTGATGTGCAATCTTCAAATCGTATACTGTAACCGACTTCATTTCCTAGCTTAACTCCTAGTTCTTCAGAAACCCTAGCAGCCACAGACATAGCTGCAACTCTTCTCGGTTGAGTACAACCAATTTTTCTGCCTTTTTCTGTATAGCCAGCTTCGTGGAGATATTGAGGCAGTTGAGTTGTTTTACCTGATCCAGTTTCTCCTTCTATTATCAGAACTTGATGGTTTTTTACAGCATCAAGCAGATCTTTTTTATAGGAATAAATTGGTAAACTTTTTTTACACTCTTTAATTGTCATTCGTTTAATATCAACAGCAGATAACTTTTTTTTGTCACAATTTTCTGTACCAGGTATTTGCAAAGCTTTTACAAATTCAATTTCATCATCCAATATGTAGTCATAATTTTTTTTATATTTATCTTTGGCATCTTTGGCTCCAAATGAAATTAAAGCTGCATTTAAATGTTCTTCTTCCCAGCGTTTGTGTTCAAAATTAAGTCCTTTTTCATTTGGATCTTCAACATATTTCCCTTTAATATCTTCAGTTCCATCAGGCATGTAGTACCTTCCAACCTTTTCTACTTCTGAAGCTTTTTTATGATCTTTCACTAATTTCAAAATATTTTTTTTGTAATCAACTTCTAATTTTTCTTTTTTAGTCATTTCAATACCTCCAAAAAAATATTCCTCATCTCTTATTTCCATCTCTAAATCTTCTATCTTGTCAGCATGCCTTTTTTTTAGGTATTCCCTTCTTGATATTTTTCTTAAATCAGGAATTATTACTTTTCTGTTCTCAGTCTCTAGCTTTAATCTTTTTTCAGCCTCTTCTTTCGCCTTTTTTTCTGATTTTGAAATTACTTGTCTAGTTTTTTCTTTGTCTCGATTTTTTAATCTCTCAGTAAATTCATCTCGTTCTTTCATGTCTTTAACACTTTCATCACTACTATTGTCTGAATATTTCATTTTTTTTAAAGTTTTATCTTGTTCTTGAAAATGATCATCATCCACATCATCAAATGCTTTTTCTCTGAGATGCTTGCGTTTTTCACTTTTTTTAATCTCATTTTCGCTTTTTTTAACCGGAACATTTATCTCACCTAAATCTTCATCGTATGGAATTAACTGATAGCTTTTATTTTTTTGCTGTAATTTTATAGCTCTTGCTTCTTTTTCTCTGGCTGGCTTAATTTGTACTGTTTTATGGGGTACCTTAGACCAGAGTTCGTTCGCAAATTTAGTGACGACTTCGTTAACTTCAACTACTTCTGCATTCTTGATCTTGTCAATGAAATCGTTTGGTGAAGTAGATTTCTCGGCTAAACTTATAAGAAATTCCGAAATGAGCTGATCGGAAAATCCCAAAACCGTATAAAGTTCATCTGAAACCCAACTGCAGACGGACATTTGAAAAAAATAATAACTTATAATAATTAAAATAATTAAATAAAAATAAGTAAAATAATAACTAACACCGTATAAAAACAAACGGTGGAACAAAACGAGGTAAAAATCTTCCAATTATTTGTTTCAACTCTCAAAACAAAATATTTACGCTGACACAAATATAGAAAGCCATAGATGTTAAAGTTTATTACAACCACCCTTATATATAGAATATATCGCATATTGGGAGTTCTTTATTATCGATACATATACCATGTGACAGGGGGGCCATAATAATTTTATAATCGTTGATAATTTTGCCATCTTTTCTGAAAACAAACATATTTCGGGTAAGTCTTGGCACTCCATGTTTCGTAGGTTTTGTGAGCAATATTAATTCAATTATAAAAACTGCTAAAAATACTTAGAGGTTCAAAAATATTTATTAACGTACAAGTTGTCCCAGGATTACTTAGTTACTAATGCTGTTCGTTTTGTGTTATCAGATGTGAATATTTTCAGAAGGTCAGTGCTCTAAGGCGTGCGGATACGCACGGCAAACTTGCCGCTGAGATGCTATAAGGCGTTAGAAATCCGCACGGCGAATTGAGGGTGTTAATGCTATAAAGCGTGAGGCCGCACGGCAAATTAGACGTTGAGATGCTATAAGGCGTGCAAATCGCAAGTAAGTACAACGCTTGAAATTTTGATATAAATCGTGGGGCACCCGCACGTCGAGTTCGACGTTAAGATAAATATAGAAAACAACCCGCACACCGAATTCGACGTTGAAATGCTATAAGGCGTGCGACTCACGAAATGGCAAATACGACGTTTGAAATCATAAATCTTGAGAAACCCGCACGTCAAACTTGACTTTGAAATGCTATAAAGCGTGCGAATCACGAGCGGGCGAATATGACGTTTAGACAGTGAAAAGCGTGAAAATCGCACGACGATTTCGACGTTAAAATGGCCGAAGTTTGTATAACAAAGTTGACGCTATTTTGACGATACAAGACGCAGTCTAAGCACAAAATTAGACGTTTATTGAGACAATATAAAGCATTTTTGTTATAGAATGACAATTTTAAAAATAAAAAATTTATTACATCTGTCAGAAAACTACAGACTATCCAAAATAAAACTGCTAGACTTATATTTAATAAACCTCCTCGTTTTAGCTCTTCCATTCTCTTTCCAATGCTTCATTGGCTTCCAATTTCCGCTCGAATCATCTTCAAAATTGCAGTCCTTACCTTCAAAATTATTAAAATCCCCAACATATCTATACGACCTCATATCCAGACATGAACATACTAGATCACTCCGCAGCAGCTCAACAGGTTTCTTAAACATTCCCGTTGCCGGATCCCGCTTGGCTGGCCGCGGTTTTCGTCACGCTGCTCCGTATGTCTGGAATGCGTTATCTCCTGAGTTAAGACAATGTTCCTCGTTTAGTCTTTTCAAAAAGGGATTAAAGACTCATCTTTTTAACACGGGTTCCGGGCGCTTCTGAAGCAGCTATGCTAATGGGCGCTTCATAAATGTTTATATTATTATTATAACTAACTAAAAAACAAAAATCAGCCATATCATCATACTACAATATTCATGTTTCCAAGTTTATATTAACAATAATAATTTTAGTTTTTTACTTAATAAATTAAATAATTATAATAAAATTTTAATTATAAATTTTGAAAAATTAATGTATAAAGTATAAACATAATAATTGTATTAACGCGGTTGATTTTTTTGAAAACTGTATCGAATATGGTCTAAATCCTATATATATATATATCTTTGGAAAATGGCGGAAGGAATAATTATCGAGGTTAAAAGCGATAAAAAATACGTAATTGATACGTTATTGTGTTATATTTGGTATGTTCGAAACCAGATAAATGAAAAAGAAATGAAAACTTCTCTTTGCGAATTTTTTGAAGTTGACGATGTAAAAAAAAGTGCAAAGTTTTTGCATCATGAAGCCAGCACATTATCGCTCAGCCTGCCGAAGTTTTCCGAAGACGTTGACAAGAATAAAATGTGGGACGAATTTCTTAGTATATGTCGGCTAATTTTTGAAACTAAAGTCGAAGACAAATTTCCCTGTTTTCTCGCTGATGACTTGTGGAAAGTTACTAATTGTGACAATAGATTCGAGAAATTGTCAGCTGAACAGGTGAGGTTGCAAAAAAGTGTTATTCAAAATAGTCCGGGCGTTCTGGAATTTCTTAAAGAACATGGCAATATACTGAGTGATGTCCAAAAAAAGGTGAACAGTATCGTGTGCAGTGATGTATGTGCTGATGGAGATTCAGATGTTGAGACATCAGTCGCTAAAAATTTGTCTGACATTGCTGAAGAAGGTAACAATGATGATGGAAATTTTATAACAGTCAGACGCAAGAAAAGAAGAAACATTTTACTATCAACTAATACAAGTCCATGTTGTCATGCAATATCAAAGACCACTGTTGAACCTCATAGGCCTACGCAATATAAAATATCAGCTAGTAAAGTTGTATATCGGAAAAATTTTATCACATTGGTAATGTTTCAAAGACTTGTGCATCCAATGTTGTTGACCACCTTGAGTCAATTGATGTTAAAGTTTTGTCTTGCTACCCTGTATTCAAGAGGAGAGATGACAAAATAAAACTTGATGAAACCCACCCTTCTACGTCATTCCGGTTGTGTGTAGATGAGAAGTATGCGGAAATAGTTGAAAGATCAAGTTCTTGGCCTGATTATGTTCAGGTTAGGAATTGGGTTTTCAATAACAACAGCAAAAGAGGCAGCACCAGAAATGCCGATGTCAATGTCAGGACATGTTCTGATGTGAAACGATGATATAGAACTAGTGTCATGTTTTATTTGCAAACTTTAAATTTATGATTTGTTAATTTGACTTAATTTTTTTTTCATTTACCCGCTTTTTTTATATTATGCAAGTATACATTGTATATTCGTTTAATGTACATTGTGGATAAACTGTTGACTTTTGACAATCATTTCTTTAATATATTGTTACTGGATTTTGAGAGTGCCTGTGAGATTTCATTTAATAGGCGCTATACAAATGCATTAAATAATAATAATAATATATATATATATACATATATATATAGATAGAGAGAGACTAATATATATATATATATATATATATATATATATATATATGCATCAAATACAAATTGCTCCTTGACCCAATTATTATTGATAAGTGGCGCCCATGTTGCTCTTGTTTTCAGTAAAGCTTAATTATGGAAAAAATATGATATGGCAATGCATATGAGCAGAATGGCATATATAAAAAAAACATGTGAGCATATGCATAACTAATAACACTATGCAATTTTGCTAATAATTCCTTTTCAAAGAGAAACCTATCGGTGCAAACAAACCTTAACATTATAGTGAGCCCGTGTTGAATTCTAGAGCACGCATACATTTCCAACATTTATCGCTATTTACATATTTTACAACATCGAAATTTTTTTTAATTATTATAAAATAAAACTAATAACACGATTGTTTGCACTTGAATATTTGTGTTTTATATTTTCGGACAAGCTGGCCCAAATGAATAATAGTGCTGCTAATATGCGATCACCTAGTTCAAATGCAATGTTAATCCCGATCATCAAATGCTTACGGGTTTAAATCAGTGTTTCTTCTAAGCTTTTTTGGTCCTCGCCCCAAAAACTTTTTTACTACAATTTTTTTCTTTTTTCGTCATCTATGAAAACCATGTTAACATTATTCTGTTTTTTTTCTATATTTCACTCAGTGTTTTCTATCTTTTTCTTCACTGTTTGTACTGTTTCCACCTTCACCCTAACCTGTAAAGCCCCATGCTTCCCTCAGAATAAAGTTGCCCTTCGGTGGGCCCCACGCTGGGAAACACTGAATTAAATGTTTGTTAGACGATATTAACAAGCAGTTGAACAAAAATTTTTACTCGTCAGTTAAATAATTTTTTTTCAAAGTAAACATTAAACGAGAAAGTTGTTAATTTTTAAGCCGTTATTAAAGTTTTATTGCCAACAAGTTTGTTTAAAGGACTGGCAGATAGACATTTTCATGATTTTACAAAATTTTTGTTCATGATATTACAAAATTTTATTAATTCGTAAAAAAATTTTTTTAGAGGTTTAATTATCATTTGTTTAAATTTCATTTATGGAAATTTACATGTATTATAACATTGTGAACATTATTAATGATTTACTTAACATAAAACGTACACAAACAAATTGAGTGAATGTTGAATTTAGCATAACATTGCAATTGTTAGCTTGTTTACAATCGCTAAATATTTCCCACTATGAAAAGAAAACAAGTTGGTTATTTTAAAAGTTTTGAGCGTGTGCAATTATTATTATTTTTTTTGCGAATTGCTTGGTGCATCGATATTTTTACTCAGCAGTGAAGATTATTAACATCGTGGAATGCTGCTTATATTAAAGTTCTATCTCTATACATATTACATGCAATACGCACAATAATATAACTGCTTGAAGACGCTATACAAAATTTTCTATAGAAGCAATATCTCTGGCAAATTATATAACATAGATAGAGCGCTCATTATTCAAATTGTTTTCTACGTTTCTTTTCAGAGGTGTTTGCCAAGAACTGTGTTAAAAAGCAGTTTAGGCGCTTATCAGCAGTTTCTCTTCGTCATTCTGCAAAGAAATATTTCTTACTTTTCGAAAGTTTTAACAAAATTAAATTAAATATTTTCTAATTTTTGACATACTGTTATTTGTTTTTTGAGGTTTATAAGAAAAATATCAGGATGGCTGTAGCAGCATTCAACACGATGACGGCAATCAAGAAAAAGATGCACGGCATGAAAACTTTGAAGGAATCAGTGTTTGATGAAGTTGATCAACTTGATCAAAAACTTCTCGAACAGAAAGCCATTTACGAAAAGGTTTGTATGACGATTCTGTTATGTTCGATATAAAAATTTTCTAAAAATATTTTTGCATCTTTTATTTAGACTTTACATTTTTTGACCGTATTTTTAATGTTTTAATTAAAAATTTCAATTTTTTAATTTGTTACAAAGGGCAAAAAAATGAGATTTATGTAATATTAATAATTGCTAAAAAAAACAAAATCAACATACATCATTAATAACGACCGACAAAAGTAATGATAACAACATACAACATCAATTAACTCAGCAAGACGAGGAAATCTTGCAGTTGAACAAGCGCATTGTACAAATCCAAACTGACCTTGGAGTCGTCCAACAAAATGCCCAGGAAGCAACTGAAAAACTGGATGCAACAACCAAACAACTCACCACTGTACGCCCAAAAGTTCATTTTGTTTCTCTTTCTTTATCCGATATCATAGTATTAAAAAAGTTTAATTTGAGAAAATTTATATTTCTCTAAGTAAAAATGTAAAAATATTATTTAAAAGATTATATTTCCAAAACATACTTCGTGAAATTAAAGCAGCAAAATATTATTTACTCTTAATTAACAATATTGAATGAACACAAACAATTAACAAAGATGAGTTAAATTATTACTTTTAACTATTTCCGATGTATCTACTACTATAATTATCAGGCTGAAGCAGAGATGGTATCATTAGGAAAAACCGTCAGATCTTTGGAAGAGGATTATGAATCCACAGAAAACCGCCTATTGCAGACTACGACAAAACTTGAACAAGCGGCAAAATCTTTTGAAGAAAGCGACAGGTATATATATTATATATATATATATATATATATATATATATATATATATATATATATATATATTGGAACGAGGTTTTCTTTGATGCAAATATCGTTAAATATTTTTTGCCCATTTTGCATTAATTAATTTTTTAATAAGGATTTCGGCAACACGAAGCTGTTTTAATTCATATTTATTATCATTATGTGTCATCCTAGGCTTACAACGTTGTTTCGACATACAGTCATCATCAGAGCCTGGTTTTACGAAATATCAAAAATTGAATTATAATTTAAACATTAAAATCAAGAAATTTAATGAAAAGTACAAGAAATGAAATTATGACGTTGTAATTAGAAAATTAGAAATATGAAAATGTAAAATATGAGAAAATGTTACCTTGTAATAATAAAATAT